AAAGAACAATTTTATTATCACTTAAAAATGTCATTAATATACCCCTGAAAAAAGAGCAACTTTAAAAAATTTAACCAGTCGAGAATAATTCTGACAAAATAAATATTTACAATAGTAATCCGAATTAAACCTATAACCACAGATAATTTTACCAGTTTGTATTCATCATTTAAACAGTGAATTATTTTGTTTAAATGGAATATGAATAAAAAGGCAGTGTTTTTAAGGGAAGGTAGCTTATTTTGATAGTATTACTTATTTAGATAGGATACAGCAAAAAAGGCGCATCAAAGGCCAGGTAGGCTGGGCTACCTTTCTAAAAATATAGTGTGAGAGTTAATAAGTAGTTTTCAATTTTAAAGAATCAAGTTCAAAACTCTGATCAGAAAAATATTATAATACCTCATCATAGATTCCTCAATTCTTTTTTTAACCAGATACATTTTTAAAATGCCATTTTTCTTCAAATATATTCTCCATCAAGTTAATTCTCTTTAAGTATATAAATGCTTAAATAAAGGGTACTCAATTGAAAATTACTCTGCATAAATTATTAAATGCATAAATAATTAAGTTTTCTATAGCTATTATTACATACTTTAGTGAGATAAATCATTACAAGAAAAACTTTATTTAGAAATCATTTTAGTGACTTATTTCAATTCAGCATCTCAAAATCTAATTAAATTTTTTTTTCTCTTTTGATATAAAGGTTATATATTTTTTGGGAGCCATTTTTGTTATCTTAAGTTTATGGTGATGCCATTTCTTTGTTAATGATCCAAATTTTGTGTTCAAATCCCTTTAAAAATCATATCTTTACTGATTCATTACAGCCTTTGTTGCATATTAAAATCAAACTTCTTTTCTTTGTAAATAAACATATTAAAAAAATGTTTTCATAATCATTTCTTAAACATTATTATTCCTAAAGTAAACAAAATTAAATAAGAGGAGGTATTTTCATTTGATTACACAGTTATATAAACATAGGCATTTGAACTCCTCTCTCTCACAATGTTTTACTAAAATTCGAAGAGAAACACTTGTACTTAATTTAACAGCTTAGCATTTTACAAGTTTAAAAATGTACGACATTGTGAAATTACTTTGAATTAAAAAACATTGACCTCAGTTCAAATCAGAGTCAGTTTTTTTTATTCTTTCATCTTTCCCACTTTTATAAGATCCTACTTTAATTTTTAGTGATAAGTTAGTTTAAAACATTTTTAAATTTACTTTTTGCTTTCTGCATTTCACATTTCCAATGAGATAAAAACAGTCTCTTAAAAGATGCTAAAGTTAACAAAGTAATAAATTAATTCGAATTATTGAGAGAAAAAAATTGCCTTGATCGTTATCCCACTTAGGAAAGAGTATGTTTTAAGCTTGAGTGGATAGATATGGCTAGTTTCTAAGCATTATGCATAATAATTATTAATTTAGATCCAAAAAAATTTAGATTCGAGCAATTAATTTAATATTCATTGGTTCATGATTCTTTGAATTTGAATATTAAAACTATTTTGTACTATCTATAAATTAGGTTACAGAAAATTATTCCTATGAATTATTATTTCCATGAATTCCATTGAAAGAGATCTTTTTCAATTTCAGTCAAAAAAAATTTTATTGATTACTTTAAGCATTTTTGCAAATTAAAAAAAGCCATTATTATAATTTAAAATTGTATTCTAAAATAATTGAAAATTATTATTTTAAAATATAAATTTCAAAAAAAATTTCTAACAAAATTTAGATTAAAGCAATTAATTTATTGCTCATTGGTTCACGATTCTTTGTATTTGAATATTATAACTATTTAGTACTATCGATAAATTAGGTTACATAATGAAAAACAAAAAATTATTCCTATGAAAGATATTTTTCTTTTAATCGTAGACTCAAAACTCTCAATCTGCAAAAATTTGTTTATCGATTACTCTATGCATGTTTGGTAAAATCAAAAAGACATTATCATAACTTAAAATTGAATTTTAAAATAATTGAAAGTAATTAGAATGTTGGCCCACTATTATAAAATAGTCCTCTGAGGGAATCCTATGGGGGACTTGGTAACGGGATGCAAAATGTTGTTCATAAGGAAGTATATTTGTGAATTTTTATACCTTTCTACTTAAAGGCTTGTGAATTATATTTTGTCCTATTTAATCTGTTTGTCTATCAACAGAACTAATAAATACTTGCTTTTTGCAAATGTAACCAAAATTCTTTCCCATAGTAAAAAAGGCACCAATCAAATTTACTAACCCTTTTGTTAATTCTTTGCTTATTTTGTTTTAATACTCTTACTCAAATATCAATGCGGATTTGGTCTTTAAATATTTCTTAACGTTCACCATTTCAACTGCTTTGAGCAAGAGAAGTTTTATTAAAAAAGTATTTATGATCAACTATTGATCAAGAACTAATATTTCAATAAGATAATAAGTCATTAAACATATTAATTACAGTTAATTATTGGATGAGTTTGCAGAAATAAAAGTCTGAAAAGTGCAGTTAGAAGAAGTTTCATAAAAAATCGAGTGTAATATGCTTATTTTAATACTTAAATTAATTATAGAAACAAAATGCAAATTCTTGTATAGTGAAAAGAATGGCCAGCTATGCACAGTTATAAACTAGTCTTAAACTATATGAGAAAATAACTTAACTATATGAAAAAAAACTTCAAATAATCATTCCCAATAGCAAAATTTAAACCAAGTGCTCAAGGAAGACCCATCACCATGAGACATATAAATAAACAAATACAAAGAGAGGAAATAAAAATTCAAAAACAATAACAATGATATATTTCCAAAATCTTAGGAAAACTATCCATCTCTAAGCAAAAACTATACTTTAAAATTGCTATTACTTTTAATGTGCAAATAAAAGAAAATGAGAAGAATGAAGAAAAGAAATCATGGAAACAAAAAATAGAAAATATTGTAGTAAGCCTTGTGTCATGGCTATATGTTTACGCATTCATTTATGTATGACTTTCAAATTAATGTATCACAAATAAACATAAATAACAACTTATATAAAAAATAATAACAATATTTAAATACAGTAAATAAACATGCTAAAAATAAACTCCTGAAATTTCTTCCACAATTTTGACCAAGAAAGTATAAAGTAAAATGTCAACTTACAGGGGTCTGTCCAGGCCGAATTTACTACCGTTTAGCGGTACCTTCACAAATTCAACTTTAGGAAAAACGGTAGTTTCACAAAATACTTTTTCTTAAAAATTTTATTTTTGCATCCCTTAAGAAACGATAAATTCATATTTTTACCATATTTTTGTGTTGATTTTTTAATATAATTTTTAATTTTTCACAAATTAATTCTAAAATTTCACAAAATAGGTACCTCTCAGAAAAACCTAGACAGACCCCTGACTTATAATTACCTCCAAATAACTATATATGCTTTAAAAGATATATATACTTTACTGTAATTTAAAATATTATATAACTCAAAATTAGAAATTAATTTAGCAATGATTTAGCTTCAAAAAGTTAGTTTTAAAGCAAATTAGCAATTTTGAAAATAAAGTTGAAGTTTTAGAATCAAATTACACATTACAAAGTTTACTTAGTTTCAAAAACAATAATTTAATAAAATTTAATCCTTTAAAATTAAATTAATTATTTTTAAAAAAATTATTAAAATTAAAATAAATTTATTGAAATATTTATTTATAGAATCTTGATTCTTGACAAAAGATTATAGAATTAATATTATTTAATCTGTAGTTTTCTTATAATTAGGTTCCAAATATCTCTGTTTAATTTATGACTATTTATACATGGTTAAAATAAATAAGAGAGGAAATTAAAATTATTCATATTTTTGAAACTATTTCAGTGATACAATAAGTGATAATAAAATCAAAGAAAAATATACCATGTTTCTTTTTTTTTCAGTTAAATGTGCAAATCTTATGTTATGGGACAAACACCTAATCTGTAATCAAGTAGTAGCAATTCTATTTATGCACTACAATGTATCAAATAAGCTAAAAATTGCAGAGGTCAAATATCGCATCCCAAGGGTCCATAATTCTGTGAGGGAAAAAAAATAGCACATTAACAAAATTTCAACCATATTTTGAAGATAAAAATAATAAAATTTATCTTTTATTAATGGCTAAAGTGAATTGGAATAATTCTAAGTCATAATGCAGGTGTTTTATCTGTCCTAATTAAAAGCCTTGAAATATAACTGTTTACTTGCTTTAAAATCCTTCACTTTATTTCTCAATCAATAGAATAATTACGATTATGCACATTAATAGATGGAAAAAAAAGTAGAGAACTCATATTTTAAATAGGGACTCACTTTTAATAAAAAGAAGCCAGAAATTTGGAAACCCTGGTCGGAATGGGTCTTAAGAATGTGTAGTTAATTATGTCTAGCAGAATACCTGAGTTCGGTCCACACTTTTGAAGTTTTACATTTTTAATGGTTTCTAACGCAACAGAAATATGTTCTGTAGATTCTTGCAGTATTTTCATTTAGATGATTTATAAACAGAGCATTTGACATAACCCAATAAAAAGAGATCAGAGTAAGGTCTCTGGATTTTTGTATAAACAGTGACACGCACTCAAAGTGGAGCTAAAAGAACACATGCATGAGAAACCATTGACAGCATAAAACTACAAGTTGGGTGGAACAAACTTGAGTACAGATTAGAAGTTCGTCAAGCAATATAAGGATCACAAATCGAACACTCTATATCTGAACAATAAATAATTTTTTGTAAAATGTGAAATAGTTACAAAACTATAAATATTTAAAATTGGATAATTTATTTGTGCTGAACCCTATATTATGATTCAATTTAAAGAAAAACACACGATATAGTGTGTGTATTTAAATTAGATTTTTTTTTCTTAAATTACTGACTTATATGGTAATAAAAATAATACAAAACAAATTTCAATTACCTTATTAATATTACCAAAGAAAGGAGCAACACACAATATTTTTTTAATAAAATCTTTAATTTACATTATAAGAATCACATTGTGATGTTAATAATTCCAGGGTACAAGTAATAATCACAACAACACATTGCCACGATTTTAATAATTAAAATGTAAAGGTGAAAATTAACTTTTTAAGTTAATTTTTCTGTTTTCAAAAAAATTACTTCCATTTAAACATTTAACAAACATTCCAAAGATAGAATAATACATTTTAATACAACATTTTAACATGGATTAAAGTTACGCAATTTCAAACAGACATACGTTTTAAGTAAATTACCTCTTAGATAATTTTATATCATAAAACTATAATTTAATAGAGTAGCCTTAAAATTTGCTTTAGCATATGTAAAATTAGTCCAAAAATTACAAAGAATACGATCAAAATTTTGGAAATTATGAAAAAATATACTAAAATTTGTAACAGAAAAAAAAGAGCAAAAAAAAAGAAAAAAGAAAAAGAAACAGAGAAAGATAATTTAACTAGTTTAAGCAAATGCAACTTATCTAAAAATTGCATTAAAGGATTTTTTGGTCCGTACACTTAATACAAAAGTGATCAATTATATAGCATATACATATCTTATTACAAAGAAAGTAGCATTGATCATAAAGAACTTGAAAATATGTAACGAAATACATGGCTCAAAAATAATTATGATTAGAAACTTTAAAATGGTTTTAGAAATGGAATCGACAACTTTTAATTTCTAAGAAAGAAAAAAAACTTAAATGCAAGAATGAAAGAATCAAAGTATGAAATAATACGAATGGAACAATTTATAAAATAAAGAAATAAAGAATCTAAAATCGAATAGATTGGATGCAAAGTATTAAAGCTAAGGCAAACTAAAGTTAATTAAAACAAAAAACTTCAACTTTTTCATTCAGTTTAGCAAATGATACTGAATCAATGCATCACTCCAACATCATTCAGTTACTTATTAAAACTTTTACTTCAACAAATCATTTCTCGTTTATAGCTCCAACTTTTTCTTTAAATAAGAATTTCAAAGTTTTGCTATCAAACTAACAGTAATATTCATTAACTTAATTAGATCTTTCTTAAATATGACAACTTCCTAAAATTAAATTTGCTCAAAAATTGGTGCTACAAAGTGATTTAAAATAATAAGCCCTAATTTTTAAATTCAATATAACTCATGTGCGACTTTTAATTAACAACTTCAGGCACAGCGCCATTTTCTTCGCCATTTAAAAAAGAGCAAGCACTTAATGATATAAAGAACATTTAGCAATAAAACATAAAATAGCTATAAATAAGAGAAATAGTAATAGTTTAACATAATAGTAGTAGGAAGTAGGAATAATAATAATAATAATAAAAATAATGATTTGCATATTGAGTAAAACATAGAAGTTTTATAGTGATGGTTCTTACAGAAAGATATATTTTAAAATATGATAAACAGTGCATTCCTCTTAAAACCACATTCTCTTTACGCTATTAATTTTTGTCTATAAAATCAAGTTAGAAAGATACTGTGAAACTACAGAGATAAATGGAATACATATTGAAATAAAAATGGCATAAATTTTATATTACTTATTAATCAATAAGATTGTTAAAAGATTATTTTTGATTAATTTTAAGATATTAAATGTGATATTGAACACAAAAATGTGTATGTATATTATCCAACACAAATGTTAAATATATGAGTAAGTTTGCTTGAAAAAGTAATGTGAAGACTGTATTAGAGTAAAAGAATGAAGTAAATTAGCTAGCTTATTTATTTTCAACTAACATAACCAGATAATTTAACAATAATAAGCAGCAACCACAAAAAAACCATACAAGTTAATACAAAACAAACATTTTGCAACAAATTAAGCTATGGATTACATAGGAACACACAAGATGTTAGACATGAAAATAAAGCAAGCTAAATTTTTTAATGAGAAATTTGATACAATTATGTCAAAACTTTTATGGCAGAAAATTTTTAACCAAGTAACTAAACAGTTAAAAGGTTAAGATACAACAGACACTAATGAACATTTTAAATGGATTGTCAAATTGTTTTCAAAATTTAAAGAAAAAAACATGCAGGACAAGAAGTAAAGAACTTCTCATCATGCATCTAATTTGTAACGTGTAATTCAATCAAGTTATACAGGAAACGATCTATATATGAGTACGCTTCCCGTGCTTAAAAGCGATGCTATGATTTCCCAAATACCACTGTTCTACCAAAAAAATCAAATTCCCAAGTGAGAAAAAATCTATACCAGTTCCTGTGTCTATAATAATGCATAATATTGATGGACAATTAACTTCAGAATTAAATCTCAACTAAATATCCCATATGTACAACTTTTAAAAAACCTATTAAACAAAATTTATTTTGTGCATTTTTTTAATATCTTTAAAAAATCAATACATTTAAAATAAAAAGCTAGAGCCTAAATAAGTTGTAAAGTAGATTTCATAGACATATAAGTAAATAATTAAATACTAATGATAAATAATTTTTAAAAAAAGATTCATACTCAAATAATGTATCATTTTTTTAAAAAATTTTACAGTACTGAGTACATTGCATAACCCATGTAAATGCAAACAATGTGTTTTATGCTAACTAAAAGCTAATACCACTTAAATATAATATATATCTTTTCAAATTTTCCCTGAGTTTTAATGAGGTGTGATTTTAGGGAAAAAACAGTCTTTTCTATGCATAAAACAAGTCTAGCATTTTCTAAAAAAAATTATTATTCAAAAAAGAATAAGTGAAAAGAGAAAACAAAAACTCAAATCGGAATTAATTTTAAAAAGAGTTGATGCTTTTTTGCAATTATAACATTTTTATTTTAAATTTCATACTTTTTATAACCTTCTAAGTTTTTTTTTATATATATAAATATATACATTTAAATTGAAGCATATTTCCTTTGAATGGGAGTAAATAATTATGCTTTATTAGAAAAAGCTGCCACTGTGTTGTTTTTCATAAATAAACAAGTCTGGTTTTTAATTTCTGTCCGTTATAAAAATATAATTTGATCAAAAAATTATACCTCTAATTTTCTAAAACTATATGATGACAAGTTTTTAATTATTTTTCATATTTTACTTTAAATATTCTCTTCGCCCAATGTTTCAAATACAGGCATTATCCTTTTTCTCAGAGTAATCAATTAAATAAATAACTTTTGATAGCTAGTATTTGACCTACACTATCAACTTTTTTAAAAGAGGATACAATACAGACACAAATAAAACTGTTATATAGAGATAAGACATTTTTAAAAATTGTCTTAAATAAAACACAATACTTAAACATTACAATTAAACAATTTATTTTTTTTTGCTGCTGCTAGCTTTACTTTGCTACTAAATAAAGTTAAATCCATGATTTCATATCAGAGTATTAGACAAATAACTAAATCAAATGATGAACTAATGCAAAAGTTTTTTTTAAAAAATTTGATATAGAGAGAATTTTTTCAACAGTTTGGCAAATTATGCTAGATGGTAGCAACAGTGCCTAAAACAATTATTCATATTTAGGACAAGTTTTGCTAACCCAAGCTAGCTTAGATTGAGTAAAAAATGTAAAATATTCACATATTTGTCTTCAGCTATTTATTTATTTGAGTGCATATTATAATGGGAAGATATTGTTTTTAGTCCAGTTACTATAAATTATTCATCTCAATGAAATAAAGCAGAAAATAAAGATCCACGTTTCAAGATTTAAAACTTCCTCCCTTTGCGCAACCAGTACTCATTTATGATTCTTGCTTTAAACCATGAATAAATAAATTTCATTAGGAACTGAACTTTAAATTACGAGATGGCATTGATAGTAATATACTCGTTAGAAAATAAAGCAAAGCATTCCCCGTGTGGCACAGCCCATTGTGGGTCAAGCAAAGTTGTGGAAGTTAAGGTTTCCTGATTTTGCGACAAATAGCATGATTGAGAAAAGCAATGTGATCGAACTGCCTTTTCAGAGAAACTGATACCTATCAAGATCATTAACTTCCTTACACTACCCTCGCTTACTTATTATAATCCTTTCTTTAAAACATGGATTAATAAACCTCATTAGGCATCCAATTTCCAGTGGAAGAGCCTCTAGAATAAAAGATTAGTAGCATATTTGTTTGAAGGTAAAGCAGCAAAACAATCCCCACTGCAGCCCATAAGGGTACACAGACTTTCATGAACAATAGCATGATTGTGCCAATGTGGTCAAGTCACCTTCCCTAACAAGCTGGTACCCATTGATCTGAAGCTAAGCATATTTCGAGCCACTTTTGGGGATTGGATCCCAATCTAACAAAGGCGACTCAGGGCCTTAACCGCTGAGTCTTCACAGTCCAATATATCAGTTGTAAATTCAATTTATTTAACATGATTTAATCATGGATCTGAGATTCACTCAACACTTTAAAATACAGTCGAACGCCGCTATAGTGAACCTGGGATATAGTGAACACACGGTTATAGAACTTATTTAGAGGTCCTCTCCGAACTCATATTCGGACAATGTTAGAGTTGAGAAATTGGTAGTTCGGCTATAGTGCACTCGAATTACATTTCCGAAATTTTTATTCAGTTCTCCAACTTTAAACTTGCAGGTGTACACAGCTCACCCCCATTCAGAAAATCTAAAGTGCATTAAGCTCGTATTTCCATCTCCAAATAAGACTTCTGTGTTTCAACCCATGGACCAGGGTTTTATTTGCAGCCTGAAGTCCGACTATAGGAGACAACTAGTGATGCGTGTTTTAGAAAACTACAAATAAAATAACACGGACACGAAATGCATCTCTCTTCCAGATGCTATCTTTTTGTTAGAAAAATTATGGAGGCAAGGAATAGCAACAACAGTCCGCAATGGTTTTCTACACACAGGTCTTTAAAAGGATTTTTTTTAAAAAGAGGACAATTTACCTATCACTCTTTGGCTAGAAAAACAAGAAATAGACATTTTTCCTAGCGATCTTATAGAACAATTTAAATAAAGTGACGATCAAGTGTTCCATTCTGGTACCCCTTACCGATGATTACATTCTCTCCCAAATAAAATTAAAGAACAAAGCTAAGGAAGAAGACTCGTTAGAAGAAAATGAGATTTCAGCATCATTCCTAAATGAAATAAAATGAAGTCCTGAATATTTCTACAAAAAATGTGGATCAAAAAATCCTTTACATATTGTAGATAAGAAAATTGATGAAGTCTACTTAGACTCAAATTGTGTTCAATCAAAAATCACTCATGTCTTTCATAAAATGTAAAATTAAAACCAATTTTCAGCATGGTGAGTATTTTTCTCTTTAAAATTCGATTAATTATCTATTAAATTCGTTAATAGTATTTAAACAAATTATGTAAAATCACAATCCCTAAGTTCAATAATTCAACTATCATAAATAAATAAAAAAAATTAAAAAACTTGGATACAGTGAATCAACATTTATAGTGGACATATCGCTGGGTTCGCAGACAGTTCACTATAGTGGGGTTTGTCTGTACATGGTTTAAAGAGCAAAAGTCTTTCCTAGCAGCATGAATAAATGTTAAAAAATAAAGAAGACAGATTATAACATAAGCACTTATATATATATCTGAATAAGAATTTATAATTAAATTTGTTGCTAGTGCAACATATTTAAGAGATGTTATATCACATGAGATACATTGCAAGGTGGGGAGCACAGAGTTTGTAACACCAGATTTCACGATATTGCTATCAAACCAATATCAGTCTGAAATATGGCACCAGGTCAACCTACACAAAAAGTGATTTAACTATAATCATTCAATAAGTTTAAAGCAAATATATATTTTAATATACTGCTGCAAGATCTAAAAAATTAAAGAAAAGTGAATCTTACCTCGTATCTTTATCTTTGCTTAAAGACTCAACATTGTATCATTAGTTCTTAGGTATTGTCCATATAAAAAATGTTTTTTTTAGAAAAATAATCTAGTGAAAGATTATTTTGAAGTTTGTTTATGAATTTTCAATGGAGTAACAACTTGCGAGCAAATAAATTTTTACTTTAAAAAAATTTTTATTAAAAAAAATATGACCGCATCAAAATTGCTTTTAATGTATTAGGAAGTCAAAACCCTTTTTGGTGAAAAAAGAAAATTATAAATATTATTTTATTATTATTACTGTAGATGTTTTTACAAAATGCTTTAAATTTAAATTTCTCCCTGGAAAGTGGTAATTCATATTGTTTTATACATACATCAATCTGTATGGATCTAGTGTCTCTTCATCTGTAGAGCATTTATTGTTCAACGTTTTGCCATGTAATTTTACCAGCAACAACAAATATTTAAAATTGCATATAATGTTTGCTCCAAAGTCATATATTCATTATATTAAAGAATTCTGCGAGAAATATCCTTACGCAGCAACACCCAATAACTCAAAAATGACACAATTAGTTAACAGTTTCAGGACTACTGGAACAATAACCAGTAAGGAAAGAGCCAATAAACCTTCCAATTTGAATAATGAAAACTAAGAGAAGTTGAAACAAAGTTTCCGTATTTGTTTTCAAAAAGAACAATAAAGAGAGGGAAAAATGACACTCCCAATCTAAACAAATGCCCCTTGGAACATTTAGTGTAACATCTACAAATTTCTTTTGAAAATTTGGTAAAATGAACATTATTTTCCATTCACAAAAGTGAAAAACATTTTGAAAATGTACTGTAACATGTTGGCAGAAAATAAAAGCTGGCATAATTGCTAAAAACATAAACAAATCTGTCGTATTTTACTGCAAAAGTATGATGCACTGTCAGCCATATTGTACAAAATATAATCCTTTATGATCTATAATCCTGAAGTTTCGGATCAACACCATTATGCAATTCTGAAATCATTTAAGAACTTATCTTTATTGAAAAAAACTTTTGTGGTAGTTCTAAGAATTGAGTAAAAGCTTCATGTATTTAAAAAACACCCAATCCCAAGTTAGAGATGCCAGCATTTAAGACATAAAGGCCAAGTAAACCAAAATTCACATTTACAAAATAAAGTATTTCACTATTCTAAACTACAAATTAAGCTTTAAGATGAAGGAATGCATTTTTGCATAAAAATAAACAATAAAAATTCACACTAATAACAGACAGATTAGTTCAAAATATTTCAATTATAATAAATAAATTATCAAAAATTAAAAGGTTATTAAAAAATAGAACTTTCCCAAAAATTAATCATTAGTATTTTCCCTTTGTAAGTAACGATTTAGGAGACAAATCAGTCAGATAAAAAATAAAAAACAGTTTGTGTCAAACCTGATTGAAAGAATTTGTAGTTTCTGATCCAAGGTATAATTTTTATAAGAATATAAATAATAAAAATTAGTTACCTTCCTAATGAGTCTAATTCCAAAGACATAATTTTTTGACTTACTTCTATTCATTAAACAAGAAATTATTCTATGACACTAATTAAGAGACAAAATAAAAGATCTAAAACTTTATTAATTAAAAAAATTTGTACTAATTTTTTTTTAAAAAAAATATTAATTGATACTAGTCTAAAATTCCAATTAGAACCTTCAAATTTAAGTATTCTTTAGATTTGCAAGATATTTTAGAGCCTCAAAACTAGCTTTACTTTGCTACTAAATAAAGTCAAATCCATGATTTTAGATCAGAGTATTAGACAAATAGCTAAATCAAACGATGAACTAATGCAAAAGTTTCTTTAAAAAATTTTATATAGAGAGAATTTTTTTTAATAGTTTTGCAAGTTATGCTAGTTGGTAGCAACATTTTCTATAACAGATTATTCATATTTAGGACAAGTTTTGCTAAGCAAAGTGTGCTTAGATTGAGTAAAAAATTTGTTATAACTAATTTTACAGTCTACTTACCTTTACATTTTTAAATTTTGATATATTTACTTATAGCAGAGATGCACAGCCATTTCAAGATCGGGGAATGATAATTAGAAATTACAGTGTTGGGGGCTGAAGTGAAAATAAAGTTCTAATCAGGAAATTATAGAGCTTATTTTGATTATGTATTTAAAGTAATAGGAATTCTTTTTTTATTTTTGTTTACTTCAAAGCATATAGTAAAAACTAATGTATAAAATATGTGTTGCAATTAATCTTAAAGAATATGGTTAAAAGAATACAAAGTAAATTATTTAAAATTTACCAACAAAAAAAAGGAAAAAATTGGCATTTTCATTCATCTCAAAAATAAACCTTAACTATTACACAGAAAGTGAAAATTAAGTTACCAATAGAGTATCGGAAATGCTTAATGGTTATCATTGAGATGTTTGAATTCATAATTTCTTCTAACGTAACATTTCTCAGTGCTCTTCCTAAGCGCTTTTATAAGGGCAACGCTCCCTGTCTGCCCTTTGATCTATATAAATGCCCTTTTCTAAAACTAAGTCACCATCACTTAAAAACACTGTATTTTCATTCATAATCCAATTTTAGGAAAAATTAACTGCTAAAATAATAATTAGACACAAAAATTATCTGTGTTTATAGGTTTAATTCTAATTAAATTAGTATTACAAATATTTACTTCGTTAGGGGACACTTTTAGCTGTGCATCCCTGATTATAAAAAAAAAAGAAAATAGTTTAAAAATTAGGACACATTTCTTTATTGCAAAAATATAAATTACTACAAAATTAACCTTCATAAATTATAAAAATTATTAATAAGGGAAATTAACGACTAAAACAGAAATATTCAAGGGGGAAAAAATATTGATTGCTAAATGGAAAGAGTTTGTGATAATTATTTGGAGAGAGAAAAAATAGAGAAAAACCTCTAGTCAATAACATGAAAATACAAAAGAAATATTAGGTAGTCAAAACTAAAATATACTTACTTGAAATAGTCTGCTTATAACCAAGTACAAACTGAATTTCTATACCTAATGCAGCAGTTGAAATTAAAAATATAATTATTATTAAAGATTATAACTAAATATTATAATTTGTGAAAAGGATTCTACCACAGTTAACACTTAATTATTCAAATTAAACAAACGGTGGTTATTATTGTAAGTATTGATAACTATTATAGTAATTTTATTACTGGGTTCATACTTTATCGGGAAAAAAAACTTCCTTGATTTCCTTTCTGATTGTGCAGAGTAATTCTAAAAATATTAGATGCAACATCATGAAAATATATCAGTCGGAAATTCAATTCATCAGCAGAATTCCGGACAGACAAACTTTTAATGACGGTAAAAAACACCAATGAAATTATATTGGCGGCTAATTTTCTACAATTAGGCTAAACTGATGCAAATAAAGGATATATCAGTTTTTTTTTATAGAAAAATGAACAAGTTATTTGTTGATTATATAGTTTGAAGACGTCTGTATTATATTATCAAATAAGTTTGAAGTATTATTCAAAATAAATAATTTTTTATTCATTTTTAAACCTATAAAATCTCATTCTCTCACTCATAACACTTACCATCTACAAATATCAAAAACATTACTTTTTACTGAAATACCTACACGTTTCCTATTTAACTTTTATTTTTTAAAAACGACACTTGTAGAGTTGTTTCTATGTATTCAGTCAATCTTTCAGTTCTTGAATAGGTTTTTTTATTAAGCATTTTTTTTTAAAAAAAAGTATCTGTATCTTAAACTAATTAATCAAACATTACAGTAAATAAGTTTTATAAACTTTCACTTTAAGCTTTTTTCCTAATCTAAAAATTGCTTTATTAACAAAAATGACACATTTGCTTAGAAAAGAGTTTCAGTAAAAAATTTAAAAAAATGAAATTTTTTTCTTATAAAATAATTCAGTAAAAAAGTAACAAATGTTCAGAAATATAAAATACAGGCTTTTAAATTCCAGGCCTTTATCTTTTAAAAAATTTTATCTTCCTTAAGCATTATCTGAGTTTTTTAAGCTAATTTTACAGTCCCTGAGTTTTTCATGTAATCCAGTTTCTTGATGGGGTGAAAACTAAAATCAAAACTTAAAATAAATTTTCTTTTTAAAAATTTCACATTATTAAGAGATGTTTGTAAAGCAAATATTTTTTTAATATTAATGCAAGTTAATATTTAATATAACATTTATTGAAAATATTTCATGCAAATATTAACTTGCAGTAAATATTATTAGCGTTTCTCAAAAGATGTAAATTCATAATTTCCGAAAACTATGAATTAAAAATGCAAATTTGAACAATCCAGTGCAAACAAAGATTTCATTATTTTATAAACATGTACAGTCAAAAAATGGTTTTGATCTCATTTTTATATTTGCAAATATCGATCAATGCAGATTTGAGTTTTCAAAGCTGCTCAAAAAACCCGAAAACAAAATAAAAGGTTAAATTAATTAGGAGGAGGTTAAATTAATTGAGGTTAAATTAATTGAGCTATGATGTCAAGAAAAAAAAGTCACACCTGAAAAAACATGCAACTGCAAAACATACCTGCAAAACATACCTGCAAAACCAATTAATTGAAGAGGTACAAGTTCTTAAGATAAAATAATAGTAAGTTGAGGAAGACCGTTTTAAAAAAATTGAAAAAAAGGACAAAGATAAATTTCTCAAGGATGACAAGAAAAAAATATAAAATTGAAGTCAATTTCACAAACTAATAAAAATGGAAATTACAGATAATAATGTCATAAACCAGAACTTCAAATATAATTCACTAGGGCATAAATTTACAAAAATAAATAAATAAATAACAATAATAAGTCTAGATTTTATGTAAAATTAATCGAGCATTTGCAATATAAAATTATACTTCACAGACAAAATAAAAAGATTTTTTTTTTATTATTATCAAATTCGATAAACATTAAACCCTTTTATTGATTTGCTGCTCGGGAAATTTGGTACAAAAGTTGTCGTACATAAAACCAATGAACATCATGAAAGAAAACCATTTTTCTGGTCACAAATAATTTATAATCTAAATACGAATATACATCGCTTCGACTAATATGATTAACAACACTTTGATATTATATTTATCCTTGCTCAACTACAATTATTTTAAGAAATATTTTGTTTTAAATTCTTAAAGTTTAATATTTCTCAACTGATCCCCAAAAAAAGTTTTCCACTTTAGTTACAAATCAAGAAGCACAATTCAACTAAAGGAGAAACTAATCAAACAAATGAAGAAATCAAAGTGAAACCAATCTAGAAGAACAATTTAAAGATATTAAAAAATATAAATACATATGCAAAAATAAAGAATATTTACAAAAGGTGAGAATTTAATTTTATTTATTTATTTAGTTGAAATAATGAATAATTTTTAATGAAAAAATTATTTATTTATTTAGTTGAATATTTAAACCTTGTACAATATTTGAATGAACAATATTTAAACAAAAATATTTTGATTTATTTATTTCGCGATAATAAATTGATTGCGATACTGAATATTTATTTTGAAATAATGAATAATATTTAAAGAAGAAAATTATTTATTAATGTAATTTTGTTGAAATAATGAATAGTTAAACAAAACAAAAAAAAGAATTATGGGAGCCTGTAAGAAAGGAAATGGCACTGAAAGAGTTAGCATTTTATTGAGGGATGTAAGGAAATTTCTTTAAACATCATACCTTGATTCTCTTTTGAGTTTTGTCAGTTGGATGGGTCTTTCAGGACTTTTTGTCTGGCTTCGTGTACTGGGGCGCAAGGTAAATAAAGTATTACTGGGATAAACCTCCTTTTTTGGTGATTCTGATAATCTAGATATTCGCCTTGTTTTAGCTTGCGGAGATTGAAAATGATCATAATTACCATCCATAGATACATCACAATCAAATTTATCATGGAGGGAGTTTACTTTAGAATTGCACATTAAACTGAAAGAGTACATTATAAAGAGTCTCAATTAAGACAATGACAACATATTACCTAAATAAATAAAAAACACTTTCATGCTTTTTTTTTTTAAATAATTAATTACTCTGAGAAGAGGATACACAGTCATTTATTTATTTACTTTTTGAAATAATCTTACATTTACTAAAAATATCTTTTTTTATAAGAAAGTCATACATTATGAGCATACAGCAGACATTAATGATGACTAATGAAAATTAAATTTTATAATAAGTTACAGATTTTTTTAAAAAAAAAAAAAAAAAAAAACATGATTTCAATAACGTTTTTCTGTATATTATGCCAGAAACTGACATTTCTCCTACAAAAACATCCAGATAAATCTCCCAGAACAGAATGATTCAACAATGTGTCAATAATTATTAAGAAAAATGATTGAATAATTATTAAAAAAATGTCTAATTGTAATTACACATTTTTTTAAATAATTATAGCTGTTCTCAAAAAACGGAATATTATGTATATAATATAATACAGATTGTCTTATCCAAGTTTTTCGACATTAATTCATAGCTTAAAATAGGATTTGGTTATTAAGTTTAAGATATAGAAGTCGTTCTTTCACAAGGAACCATAAAAAGTCAATATTCCAATTAAAATATTATTTTATAAAGTTAATGAGTAATAATTATTGGAAATGCACTTATTAAGAATATCCCAAAAGTTTTCTGCAGTCTATACGGTGTTGTCTGTTAAAACGAACCAACGTTTTACTTTTCCCATTTCGATGCCATTCAATTATGTTAAAGAAAATCTTGAAGAAAATGCGGAATAATCTGAATTTGGGTCACTTTTTCATCTTCATGGCTGTAATCAGGGAGCGCAGCCAAATTATGCAACAGAAACAACCACCTTTTAAGCACTTTTCAATCACTCAAAAAATATTTTTAAGCACTTTATTAACGCTTTTATCTTGTTTTTACCGTCATGTCAAAAAAAAATTTTGGCATTGTTTTTGACAATAGTCAAAAATCATGAAATTTTTAATTGCGTAAAGCGAATGGCGTTTTCATATGCTACGGACTAACAATACGCCGAAATAGATTTAGGTTAAATTAATNAAATCTTATCTGCTGCGTGTAAAAGGGGAGAAAATAGTTCAAATAAGTAAAAATGAGAAAGGATTGGTAGCTATGTAGTTTGAATTTTCTGTTTCTCTTTGAAAATCGGTGAATTTTCTGAAAAAGCGGAATACTTATTAAAAAAAGTGAAATTTTTAGAAAATCTGAATTTTTGAAAAAAAAAACTGAAATTCAAGAGATAAAAGTGAAAAAAGCGGAAATCCGCTAAAAAGCAGAAAAATCTCATCCCTGTACATTATGAGCAAGCAGCAGACATTAATGATGACTAATGAAAATTAAATTTTATAATAAGTTACAGATATTATTTTAAAAAAACACGATTTTAATAACATTTTTCTGTATATTATGCCAAAAACTGACATTTCTCCTACAAAAACATCCAGATATATCTCCCAGAACAGAATGATTCAACAATGTGTCAATAATTATTAAGAAAAATGATTAAATAATTATTTAAAAAATGTCTAATTGTAATTACACATTTTTTTTAATAATTATAGCTGTTTTCAAAAAATGGAATATTATGTATATATATAATACAGATTGTCTTATCCAAGTTTTTCGACATTAATTCATAGCTTAAAATAGAATTTGGTTATTAAGTTTAAGATATAGAAGTCGTTCTTTCACAAGGAACCATAAAAAGTCAATATTCCAATTAAAATATTATTTTATAAAGTTAATGAGTAATAATTATTGGAAATGCACTTATTAAGAATATCCCAAAAGTTTTCTGCAGTCTATACGGTGTTGTCTGTTAAAACGAACCAACGTTTTACTTTTCCCATTTCGATGCCATTCAATTATGTTAAAGAAAATCTTGAAGAAAATGCGGAATAATCTGAATTTGGGTCACTTTTTCATCTTCATGGCTGTAATCAGGGAGCGCAGCCAAATTATGCAACAGAAACAACCACCTTTTAAGCACTTTTCAATCACTCAAAAAATATTTTTAAGCACTTTATTAACGCTTTTATCTTGTTTTTACCGTCATGTCAAAAAAAAATTTTGGCATTGTTTTTGACAATAGTCAAAAATCATGAAATTTTTAATTGCGTAAAGCGAATGGCGTTTTCATATGCTACGGACTAACAATACGCCGAAATAGATTTAGGTTAAATTAATTGTGAAAACGTTGAATAGAACAATGTGAACTGTGTCTTTTAGCATAATTCGAAGCGAAAATCAACATAGTAAAGGAAAAATCTCATTTTGAAAACGGGAAAATTAAGCACTTTTTAAAAACACCCAATGAAAAAAGCACCTTTAAGGGCTTTTAAAAATTGAAAATCAAAAATAAGCACCTTTAAACACTTTTTAAAAACGCTATGCACCCTGATAATACTCAGAGCCCAGTTCTAAATTCCATCGTCGTAAAGTGTTCAATAAATATCATCTTAAATCATAGCATGTCTCTTCATTTGAAATAGCTTTACTTTCATAGAATCAATAACCCAGAAATAGCATTCTATGATATATATAAATTGTAGACATTTTAAGATACATATTTATGATATGATATACAGTGAAATTTCTCGGAAAGGACTACTATCTATTCCACAGTAAAATGTTTGTTAATGGAGGTTGGTCGTTCTTAGGCGAGACTTCAAAATGCTATCGAAAGCACGTGATTTTTTGCAAGAGATTTTGATTTTACTCACTGTCATTTCTTTGATGTGGAAATGCCACTCGTGTTGGCGTCATGAACAATAGAACTGTTTTAAATATAAATAAAGAATTGTATTTTTTGCTTAAGTTTGCCTTTAATTTTATATCATAAAAATTAGTTAGCTTTAAAAAATAGACAGGGTGCATAGCCAAATTATTCAACAAAAAATAAGCACCTTTTAAGTACTTTTCAAGCACTCAAAAAATATTTTTAAGCACTTTAAAAAAATATAATTAGGCAGGGTTGGAAAGTTTTTGACAATTGACTATTTTATCCTGTTTTAACTCCCATGTAAAAAAAAAACTTATGTTATTGTTTTTGACATTTGTCAAAAATCATGAAATTCTGAATCATGTAAAATAAATGGCGTTTTCATACGCTACGGACTGACAATACGCCGAAATAGATAGAGGTTGAATTAATTGTGAAAACGTTGAATAGAACAATGAGAACTGCGCCTTTTTGCATAATTCGTAGCGAAAATCAACATGGTAAGGGAAAATTAAGCACTTTTTAAAAACACCCAATGAAAAAAGCACCTTTAAGGGCTTTGAAAACACAAAAAATCAAAAATAAGCACTTTTTAAAAACGCTACGCACTCCGATAGAAGAGATTTGTTTGTTTAAAATGCTGAGTTTTTTCTAAAATAACTTATTCTTTATTTAACTTTCAGCTAAAAATAAATCATTAATAGCATTGTCTTTAGTGTACTCTGACTGCAACTTAAGGTTATAAAAAGAGCTCTCTAAATAAGAGTCACTCACAAATATTTTGAATACATTTAAATTTACTTATTTGTTTTGTTAATATTTTTAGTTTTGATATTTTTTCGTGTTTCCTTATTTGACCTTTTCCGCATTTGGGGAAAAGATTTGCGGGTCACTTGGGAAGGTTTTGATGGTCTTTCCTAAAGGTTTTCTACAACACAAAGAGTATAGAAAAAAATTCCAAGCTTCTCAAAAGTGGGTACAAATAGAGGGGGTTGTTACAAAGAGGTGGTCTTACCTGAAGTTTCCCTGTATATAAATTCACCAAAAAAAAGGGGTGTAAAAAGGGTACGCAATGTATCTAAACAAGGCTCAAAATTAATAAAGGTTTGTTGGTTTAGAACCACTAATGTCTAACTGGAGTCACCATAAAATAATATATAATGGTCTACAGTACCAGCAACAAAAGCGAAGAATAACTTATTTATCAGTTTCCTTCATATCTTTGATAAAAATCTTAGATAAATATTACATATTCTTCATAATTTTTCATCGAATTTCTTTAACTGTTATTTTAGTTCCAATATTTAATATAATGTTCCATTTAGAGTAATAGGTAACACAGAACCCATTTACTAAAAAAAGAACAATGATTTGTAAAAAGCTTCATTTGTAATTTTTAATTAAAAATTTTAAAAATTTCTTGGAATAAATTTATTTTGTTTTAGAAACTTTTAAGTATTTTTTAACAGGTCACTGAATTTATACAAATTAGTAAAGTATTTCATTTACTGGTCTTTCAGAGTATAGTGTCTATATTTTCTTAATTTCTAATCCTGCTCAGTACTTAGTCAATTATCATAATTAAACATAAGATATTGATTGAAAAATAGTAGATAAAGGAAAAATCATGATATTTTTGCTATTTATGCAGCACCATCAAAAATTATATAAATAATTGTCTAAATTGTAAGCTATACATCAACACTATTAATGAGATAAAAATAATACAATATATTGCATCTACTATATGATTATTAAGGACATATGTGTGTAATTTCTCTATTTAACTAATTAGAAACTAAATTTAAGCATTAGAATTACCAAGTAATTAAAAGAACAGATTGAGAATCACATCTTTCACAAGATCTTTCTCAAAACTTTTACTACCAATTCAATTGAAAAAAATTAAAATCAAAAGACAAACACTTACTCTAAAATCTCAATAACATAAAAAATTTAATTATCTTTAACTGAATTTTTCTTTTTAAATATGATTTATTATATTAAAAAAATAATATTTTTTTAACAGGTCAACAATTATATGTTAATTGTATATTAATATAATAATTCTTAACATTTATTAATATTATATTAATATTTAATTTAATTATATAATAATTTTTGTTACAATTCGTCATGATATAAATTATATTTATTTTCAACTTACTCTGATTGAGGATTGGTCTCAAAATTTGATTTCAAGCCAGATCTTCTTGTTCGAAACAAGTTTGCTGTTTGTGCGGGTGACAGAGAATCAGCACTGTGATAACCATGTGATGAATTCTCACTCTCCGTACTGCAATGACGATTCCTCATATTCTCTGAGTTGAGAAGTCTTTTGCTGCTAATAGGAGTAAGTAGCACAACAGGTTTCTTTGGTGAAGAATCAGAGATATGTGAGTTCCTTAAACTATAGGGAGATTTGTTGCCAGAGGGAATATCTGATGATACATCTTCAAATGAAGCAATTTCTACTTCAGCCATAGACACAGGCACATCACTGAATTCTTGTGTACTTGATATGATATCTACATACTCGCCTGAAGTTTTTCGGGCTCGGAGCTTTGTTGTGGCTTCAAAAAGTAGATTCATTTCTAATTAAAATACATTACTACATAGGATAATTCATAATAACTAATTATTAAAATTCATGCGAGCTTACTATTATATACAATTAAAACAGAAAAATAATTAGTTAAATTTTTAAAAAAATAAAAATTTGTAGCGAAAAGGTTATTAATTAAAACTTAGAAGAAAAAAACTAATTTTATTTTAAAAAATACATTAAAGCCAAGTTAGAGAATTATTTAGGGGGGTTGATCCAGGTCTTGGGGCCCATCTATGTAAAAAATTGAATTTTTTTTTAAATTATTTAATAATTATATAAATAAAAATTTCTTTTTTAATGTTTATCTGAAAATACGGAAGAAATCACTAAATGTAATTACGGCTAAAAGGAGTTCCATAAGAATTTTCTGCATGTTTCATCTCCAGACAAGTTGAGTTCTCACTCACATCTGAATTCGTTCTTAGGTTCCCTTTCAAAATTTCAAAGGATTATTAATTTTCATAATTGCAAAGAAGAATCAGTTATTGAAACTAGTCGAAGGCAGATATGGCAAGTTTTAAACACAATGGGAGAAAAAGATAAAACAAGTTCATAAAAAAAAGGTTCTTTTGAAAACAATTTGAAAAAATGTATAACTCTTTAAAAAAAAAGGAATATTAAATTTTGAAGCAATATAATTTATACAGTTTACAACAAAGTCTGACTTAAAGTATTGATTTTTCAGCTATTTAATACATCACTTTTAAGTAAGTTAAAACAAAAAAAAGCAACAATTGCAAAAAAAATAATAAATAAATAAATTTATTAATTTCTTATGAAATTAAAACTAAAATAGTGTATTTCAATATTTTATGTAAAGGAGTATAGTGGAATCTTGATCTTATACAAAAATATCAAAATCAAATATTACAAGTTAAATTAAATTAACATTGAATTCAAAATATATTAATTTTTATAATCAAATACAGATAAGTATGAATATTCAAACCGACTTGTAAATAATATAATATATAGATTTTTAAATTCTATATGAAACTAAAATAAATAGTAGGTAAATTTAAGTGATGGAGAAAAAATTTTCATTTCTTGCATTTTATTCATTTTATTTGTTAAAATTTAAGCTATTGCTTTCTAATTATCTGTTAACAAATGTTTCAGTCATTATTTTTTTTCCTATTTTTTCTGTTACCTATGGGTTTTTCGAGTGTCCTAAAAAAAAAAATCCCAGCCCTAGAGGAAGGCAACTTTTAGGAAAGGGTATAAAGGAAAATTGTGAAATTTTGTTACAGGCCCATGATAACATTTTTAATAGTAGCCACTCTCTCAAAAATTGAAAATTTTAAACTATTGATATCATATACAGGGTATCTGCTACATTTTAGATTTTCAAATTCATGACTTTTCATGACTAATTCCAAGAATTTTTCATAACTTAATAAAGTTACTATTTTCTCCGAGAAAAACACAACAATAAATTTAAAAAAGCATTATAATAACATTCACTGAAATGATAGGTATAACCAAAACTGTTATACTCTGCATCTTCATATTTATAGATTTTAAATTTAAAAAACAGAGTAAAGAAAGAGTTGAAGCAATAAAATAGCTGAAAAAGATACAAAAGCAATTAATTTTTTTTTCTTTTTTTCTGCAAAATTACATTCTAAAGATACTTTTCTTGTTCATCGGAAAGGAAAGAAATACTCCTGATCTTTCTGTTCTCATTTCGGAATAAAAAATTTCGTCAATGACTGGCTTGCTTCAGCTAAAATTTTAAATTGATAAAATAAAAATAATAATAAAAATTCTGAAATCACAGATGTTTAAAAGATAATTCTTTCATTTTTAAAAAGAACACCATAATTTTTAAAGAACATGATAAAAACATTCTATATTTTAATAAAACATGATTGTGAGTGGGGATTTTGTTACACATTCAGACGTTCAAACAATTGGGGGGAGGGGTAAAATCCATTTTGAAAATTAGATTTTTCGTCGACTTAAATCCATGACTTTCCATGATTTTTTTTTTTTTTTAAATAGTTCAAATCATGACAAATTTTATCCAACAACAAATTCATGACTTTCCATGATTTTTCATGACTTTCCAGGTGCGCAGATACTCTGCATATACTTAAAGCATTTCTCAAAATATGGTAAACTCTACTTGGCTCAATTTTTAATACGAAGAAATATTTTCCTGACAACTTTAAGTAGGTTTATATAAAATTTTGGTACAGTATATTGTTTTGAACTAATAAAATTTAGGGGTTGAGTTTTCGAACCAATAATGCAAGACAAAATTTATGTTTATTAATAAACATAAAATTTATTCCTTACAAACTAAATCTTAAATACTTGAAATCATAATGAGAAAAATATAATAAGAAGAAAAATTGAAAGCCTGTTTTATAGCACATAATTTAAAAAAACTAATATTTTTTTATAATAAAAAAAAAGTTTAATCAACATTTTTTACATCATTACCTGATTATAAACTTCATTCGCTTTAAAAAATATATAAATAGGAAATAACAATTAACATTCAAGTGCTGAAAAACAGATGCCCATTTGCAAGACATGCCAGATGTGAATGAGAAGAAACAAAGTGAATAGAAATACAATATGAAAAGTTGCCAAAGAAAAATGGAAAATTAAAGGTGAGAAACAAAACAAGAGAAACCACAGCAACCGAGAAAGAAAAAAGACGAGAAATAAAACAAGAAAAACTACAGTGGCCAAGAGGGGCAAACGAACGTAAAATGCATTTCCATACGCTATGGAGAGGTGGTGAGGAACTAATGTCTTTAACAAGGTGAGCTTATGTGACTGAAGGTAGCTGACTGATGACAAGATAAGCTAACTAATGTGACCCCCATGATGTGACCACATCAGCTCATCTTGATGCACTGGAATCTTGTTTTATTCATATGAATGCTGATTTCCTTGTTAACATTAATTCCTTACCAGCATTTTACACTGATTTACCCCTCTCAGCCGCTTTGGTTTTCTTGTTTTGTTTTTCATCTTTTTTTCTCTCACATCTACTTTGGTTTTTCTAGCTTTATTTTTCCATTTTTCATTGGTAACTTTTCCTTTTATATTTCTAATCACTTTAGTTTCTTCTCATTCACGCCTGTCAAGTCTTGAAAATGGGAGTCTGTTTTTGAGCGCTTGAAGCATGTCGACTGTTCTTTCCTATTTACATATTTTTGAAGGGAATGAAGTTATTAATCAGGTAATATCATACTGTTCCAATATCTTGGGATTATTTATTCATATTTTTACATTAGTTACCCTGAGACTGGTGACAACTGTTAATTTTACACTATATAAAAGGACCATTTTCTTAAATTTGAAGGGGGAAAAAATGGCTTGAATTTCGACCTGGATCAAACCCTGATTTATTATTAATGCGTTAATGTCTTGATACTCACCATGATTTGTATCACTTCTAAGAGTGACTGGTTTACATTCATTCGAAACCAGTTGAAGATTACTATGATTCAGTTCTTTTTCTGGTTTAACCACTATGTTATTTACAGGGATACTTTTTGAATAATCATGAAAATTTTTAATTTTGGATGCTATCACATTATTATTTATCACTGTCCTTTTACTTTTACTGATGAAATTATCAGTAATACCAAGTACATCATTACAAGGTATCAAAGATAAACTTGGCACATTGTTAACTTGCTTTGCACTATTGTTTTTTTCAGTCAAATTCTTTATGGCCCACAACTTCTTCTGAATTGCTTCCTTGGTTTTATTTATATGATAAGAGACACTCTTTGGAGATAGGCAAGGACTGTTTTTTCTTAACGGTGTACTTTCTTCAGCAGGACTCTTCTTAATTTTTTTTACAACAGTTTCATTTACAGGTTTTTTGTCTATAAAATTATGTACAACAGGTTCAGAGGAACTGGTCCTGTTCCGTGTGCGAGTTTTCACTTTTTCGGCAATGGAGGTTGAAAACGAATCAGGAATGTCTGCAAAAGAAAAGTCAAAAGGTTGAGAAGGAGAATACATGCTGTCACTATATGCCGGAGAATTATCAGTAGATGTTGAGTTAATTGAAGCTGATACGACAAGTGCTTTTGGTTCTTCACTTGGATTGTCTTTATATTTAATAACAAGTTTAAAATTCTTACTAAGCTTTGACTTTTTCTTTTTCTTGCTATAGTCTGAGTTTTTTCGTTTTCTGCCTTTCTTCTTATGTGTGATGGTGCCCTCATCGTTCTGTTGATCTGACAAAATCTCACATTTTATTCTATCCTCGACTTTTACATTTATTCCAGGAGAAATTCCACTGTAGATCTAAATAGAAGATATCATTCAGTAATAGTCACAGCTTTAAATCCAAGAAATATTTTATTTAAAAAAAATGCACAGAATAGCAATATGCACAATAGCACACAATATGCTGCAAAATCTGATATTTGAAAAATGAAACCTATGCATAGCCATTAAACAATAAACATTCTAACAATAAAGAAAGTACTCTAATAACAAAAATTAAGAACAATTTTTGATAATAACTAACCTCTTCTTTTCTTTCCTCTTCTAAAATTTCATTTTTCATAACACAGTTCTTTTTATTTACAAATCCTTTCTTAGCCTGATATTAAAAATAAAAAAAAATTAAATCTAAGAATCAATGATATACAAAAATTAACAAATAAGTTTATATATTGGAAATTGGAGTTGATTTTAATTAAGGCATACAAAAGCTTCAAAACAGTTTTAAGATATGTTTTTGATTAAAAGCAAATTTAATAACTGAAAAAAAAACTAAAAGAATAATAAATTTAAAATATAAATATTTATTTTAAATATTACAATTCTTTAAAAAGTTTGTAAGCAAGTTCTTTAGGAGATACAAGATCAAAAATTTAAATATTTCAATACTTCAAATGGAAAATTTTAAAAACTGCATTTATAACAGTAGAAAATAGGATCAGGCCTAGAAGTGACTCAGAGCAAAAATATAATAGGAAATATAGGAATTCATTTAAGAAATTATAGGAATTTTATAGGAATGTTTTGAAAATAATATAAGAATCCCTAATATTTTGCTTAAAAAATATAGATTCAAAATTTGCATAGAACATGTACAACTTTTATTTATGTGTTATTCAAAACTAATGTTATGAAAAAACATTTCTACAAAACCCTATCTTGGCTTTAAAACTAAATGTTTTATTAGATAATCTAACTGGAGAAAAAAAGAACACTGATTGTAGACAAATTTTAGCTTTCTTGTCCAGGAGTAGGTTGGAATATATTTCTTAATATATTTGAATAAACCGTAGACTTATATCAGAATATAATGTTATGCATTTATAAAAGAATAATTAATAAAGTAATTATATTTTTAAAATTTTTTGAGGACCAGCAAAAGGTTTCAAATAGAAAATCTGAATAAAAACAATTAAGTTTATTAATACACAGCATTAGAGTTAAGAAAAAAAGTTTATTAGTAATTATGTTGGTAACACTAATTAATATTATATGAAAATTTAACTCCCCATCTTTGCAACACATGAACATAATCGAAACAATATATACAATCGAAAATAATAAGTGCAACTGGAATTAAAATTTAGAACAAAGTTATACAAATACGAATATAATACACTAGAATATACTAAGAGTGAACAACTCAGTTAGAATCAATACATATACGTAGAATTATTATTTTTTATTAGTTTCAGCAAGCTTTTCAGTTAATATTTTAACCTGATTAGTTGCGGATTCTATGATTGCAGAAGCAATTCTCATTNGCGAAGTCGTATTCGGAGGTAAAAACTGAACTGTCAGCCAGGGAAAGTCTGTCAACAAATTATCTTCAAGATCCTTTGGATGTCCTGGTGCATTGTCCAATAAAAGCAGTGCTTTCAACGGCAAGTCATTGGTATCAAGGTAGTCCTTGATGCTCGGACAAACTTCAAATAGCCATTCTTTGAAAAGATACTGTGTGACCCATGCCCTCTGATTCGATCTCCACATTACTGGCAGTTTGTTATTAATTATGGAATTTTTTTTTGAATGCTCTGGGATTCTCAGAGTGGTAAACGAGAAGTGTTTGAAGCTTTATAATAATAATTATTGAATGACCTTTAAATTTAAATTCATTGTTAATTCAAGTTTCATTTAGTAATTATCAATACTAAGCATGCTTTAAATATTTCTCCTTTCAGTGATCTTATTTTGTATACAAAATGATAACAAACATTTAATAGTACTTCTTTTTTCGAGAAGTGTTCGTTAGAATTCGTTTTGTTCATTATCCGAATATGTGTTCGTTGTCCGAACACAAAAAATCTTTCTTGAAAGTGTTCGTTATCCGAACACAAAAATCTTTCGTGAAAGTGTTCGTTAACCGATTTGTTCGTTAACCGATCACCCACTGTATTTCTAAAAATAAAATAGGCACAATATCACAACTGGATGGGATTTGAGTGATGAATAATAATTTTTCCTAATTTAATTTCTATTTATTGATTAAACAATTCAAACAAATTTGCTTTAAAAGAAAGTTTTGACCCTTTATTATGAATACAAAATAAAAACAAACATTTTAGAGAGAAAAAACATTAAAAATGTATTAGAAATTTGTGTCTTAACAAAACAAAAGTATAAGAAATTCAAATTTTTTTATTAAAATTTTAAAATTAACAGGAACTAATGCTAAAATAAATAGGAATCAAACCAAATCGAAAGCAAATTGATCAATGATACAAAAAGTAAGATTTATCATCTTCAAATCTCGCCGACACGATAGAAAATAAATTGGAGATATAAATATAATTAAGAGTGAAAACATACAGGAAAAAAAAAGCTCAAATTATGTAACAATCTTCTATTATCTTCAAAGGTAATAAATAAAATAAAGTGAAATAAAAATAAAGGATTTAAAGGCAATATTTCTGTCTATTTATTATTAAAAAAAATAATAAATTTTTGGAATGAATATCAGGGGTCGATTAGAATGAGCCATTTCACAGTCTCTTCACAACATTCAAATTCCAAAAAAATGGTTCCTTCACTATATACAAATTATAAAAAATTGTGTATTCTCAAAATTCTTATTAGTAAAAATGACCCTATCAGGAAATTCAAATTCATAAAAACAACCTCTTTACGAAAGTTCACTCTACAAAAATGATCCCACAAAACTGTTCCATAGTAGATTCTCGGAAAAGACATGATTTTACAAAAGCATTGCTAAGAATTGCATATGCCAAAACTAAAATTGGAATGTCGTAATAGAGAGTAAAAAATATTGGATTTTGGAAAAACCTTGTAGGAAAGGCCAAAAAAATGGTGAATGAGAAAAGAAAAAATTATCATCCACTAACGAGAAATCATGATGTAATTACGAATTATCATCACGAATCAAACGCGTCAGAGTGATAACTCAAATTTGAGCGGCGTAACAGCATTGTATTAAGAATATCGAAATTTGAAACCACATGAAAAAGGCCGTAAAAATTATAAATAACTGCCAAAAAAACTATCACCAAACATCATGACATTAAGATTGAATCCCAATGAAACAAAGTGTCAGGTATTAATTAGAAATATGCACGGCATGATTACATCATCGTGAAAATATAGGAATTAAAAACCGTATAAAATGGGCCGAAAAAAACTACCAGCAAACGATGTAAAATTACGATGGAATCATCACAAATAAAACGTGTCAAAACATGAAATTGAAATTCGAATGTCATAATAAATTTTAAAATATCAGAATTAAAAAAACAAAAGCCAAAAAATTTATTTAATGCAGATAAACTATCATCGAACGACATAAAATTATGATGGAGTTGTCATGAATCGAACGCTTCAAAAAANACCGATCATCGATTCACCATAGACTTCTATGTGAAATCGATTAATTCGTTCTGGAGACCCTAAAAATTAAATTTAAAAAAATTTATAATTTCTTATTAAGTTTTTAAAAAAATAATACATACATATAGTCTTGCATATTAATCAGTCCTTTTCATTTTTTGCTTATGGGGCGTTGAAGAACATGTCCAATGTCGATTGCTTTTCTCTTTTTTTCAGGATTTTCCGGAAGTAATTAATAGCATTGTCGTTGTAAAAATCCCCAACCCTACTGACATCAGCTTAGTTTGCGTGCCATTCTAAGACGATTGTTCTGACATCCTCCCACTTTTTCAAAAGATCTTTAACGGCAGATGTCTTCCTTTTGTTCAGAAGGCGTCACATTTCGCTGTGTTTCTTGGTGTTCTTCCTTCAAAATTTCTTCTGTCGTCAGTTAATCTTCATGTCTCATTATGAGCTCTTCTATGTCATCCTCGTTCACCTCCAATTCCAGATCTCTAGCAGTTGTCAAAATTTCATCCATAATTTCAGGGGTGTCTCCCTGATCACCTCCATCACCTTGATCGAAGGATGGACACAGCTTCCGCCAAGCCGAAATCAACTGTCGCTGTGTGACTTCTGACCACGCCTTTTGAATGATACGAATAGCTTCAAGAATGTCAAATTTTTCTTTCCAAAACTTTTTTGAAGTCATTGTTGAGGAGAATTGGCTTGCTTCAAAACACCGACGAAACAGCGCGCGAGTGTACAATTTCTTGAAAGCCGCAATAACTTCCTGATCCATCCCGTAAAATTATGATGGAGTTGTCATGAATCAAACGCTTCAAAAAAAGTGATGGCTCAAATTTGAAATTCGTGAGTCATAACAACGATTAAATATATAGAAATTAATTTGGCAAACCATAGGGAAGTTGCCGAAAAAGGATCGAAAACGTGGGCTTACAAAAATATAGAATAAAAAATAGTGATTGCTAAAACTGAATGTTCCTTATTACTAGAGAAATTTTCAGAAAAATAATTTCCATTTTTCATAAAAATGGACCTTAAAATTAAAATCTAGATCGAACTCAAGATATTATAAAATTGCTTTATAATTTCCATGCAGAACAGCAATCCACATGCTTCCTGTGAGTACGCAATAATGAGTTTAATTAAATTCATTTATGAAGCCTTTGTGATAGAGGATTAAGGTAATTACCACTAAAAATCAATTAATAATTTATGAGAGATTATAAAACGCTGTTCATAAAATAAATTTCTTAATCAAAAATAAGAATAGACAATTTGAAGTCCATCAACCCTGCTATCAGTTATGAATTCAAGTAACCAGTAATTCGTTTCCAGTTAGAAGTTTTCTAAGTCTCAAAACCATGGCATACTACGGTTCTGTTGAATTTAGCTCCATGCCAAATGGATGAAGACAAAACACTTGCGCAGGAAATGGTGACGCCAAGATTGCACGCTTAATGCTCCCTAAATCAAACTCACTGACTTTTCCAGATTCTGGCTCAAAAATGCTAAATTCTCTGAATTTTGGGACAATTTCTAAATTCACTGGCTTTACACAGTTTCAGCGATTTTTCAGGTAGTGTAGCAACCCTGATTAAGAAAATTTAATTACAAAAAAGGCACTTTATTATTCACTTTCAGTATTAATAAAAAAATATGAAAAGTTGCTTGTTAACATTTTCAGTTTATTTTTATACAGAATAGTTTTATTTTTAAAAATAGCTTTGATTCCCATCTGCTCATTATAAGCCAGTTCTACAGCACTTTCTTTAACACCTTACACAGGGTGCATAGCTAGATTTTTCAACAAAAAATCAGCACCTTTTAAGCACTCATAAAATATTTATAATTACTTACCAAAAAAAATCACAATTAGTATATCTGCAGTAACAAAAATTATTTTTTTCTATCGATTGAAGTTCTTAATTTACAAACATAAAATCAATACAATGAAAAAACATTTTTAAAAACTTTACATATACATGATAGAACGACAACCGACACGGCAAAGGGAAAAAAACCTCTTTTTAAAAGATAGAAAATTAAGCACTTTTTACAAACCTCGAATAAAAATAGCACCTTTAAGGGATTTTAAAAAATGTAAATAAAAAATTAGCATCTTTAAGCACTTTTTAAAAACACTATGCATCCTGTTATAACATTTTTTAATAAGTATTTTGAATTGAAGGTATAAAAACCACAATAAAAACCAATGCTTTAAATTTATTGACTCAAAACTTGGTACAGTAGGGAACCGATTATCCGGAACGATCGGGGCCATCGCTATTCCGAATAACTAATTTTTCTGGTTTTCTGAATCGCTACAAAAAGACGTTTTCTTTATTGTTAAACCCAACTAAAAGAAAAAAATAATATTTGGAAATAATCTTAAAAAGAATAAAAAACGATGAAGTAATACTCTAATGATTATTTCCAAAATGATGGTAAGGTAAACATCTTTCAAAAAAGTATAAAAAGTCCTGAAATCTTATGAGGAAAAAAAAAAATTTTTTTTTTAAAAATTGGGGGGGAAATTTATCGAATTTTGTTCCGGTTTTCTGATTTCCGGATAACGGGTTCTCTACTGTACTAATTTAAAAAAAAAAAATTATTAACTGAATGAAATAGTAATATTAACCTTTCTATTCAAAATATTTTTCTCAGGTGAAACTGGTTCTGCTTTAACAGTCCTTTTCTCGTTAAAAAAATTCTTGAATTCATCTGAGTCGCATGATGATAAATTAGCGACATCTTCTGCCAGAAACTGGGAAAAAAGAAAACTTATATATGATTAAATTTAATTTAAAAACTTATTATAATAAAAAATAATATTGAATTAAATATATGATCAGGTAAAAAATCTCTCAGCACAGTTGGTATTTTGTAAGGAAAAAATCTACATCTTCTAGTACACTGGAAGAAACTGGACTGGAAAAAACTAATGAATTTAAGAAATTAGAATTACTGATATTTTACATTACTTTGAGAAACCTATTTTTATAATTATCTATAGAACTGTTAAAATAACATAATAAGATTCTATTGACACTACCAAATTAACAAATTACATACTAAATATACAGGCTTCTGTCCAGGCCGAATTTACTACCGTTTAGCGGTACCTTCACAAATTCAATTTTGGAAAAACGGTAGTTTCACAAAATACTTTTTCTTAAAATTTCATTTTTGTATCCCTTAAGAAACGATAAATCCATATTTTTGTGTTGATTTCTTAATATAATTTTTAATTTTTCACAAATTACGTCTAAATTTTCACAAAATAGGTACCTGTCAGAAAAACCTAAACAGACCCCTGATATATGACTCACACACTGAATTCACAATTTCAAACAGCATGGTAATTTTTTAATCAAATACTGTTAAGTATGTATACTGAAACTGACTCTTAAATAATGATACATAATTTTTTTTAAAATTAAATATTAAAAAAGGTTTCTTTTTCAATTAAAAGGGGGAAAAACATTTAACTTTCTGGTACTATAGATAAATTATTTTTGTTTAAATTTTAGCTACTCTTATATTTCTAAACACTTGTATTTTTCGTTAGTTTCTTCCATTTTATCCAATTTCTTTCACGATACAGGAAGGATTTTTTGCAGATGAAATGCCAACCCCACTATGGCCATTAAAACTTACATCAACAGGAAGGTCAGCACCATCTCCTAAAAATAGGTTAAGATCTATATTTGAGAGTGAAGATTCTAATTCATCCTGTAACAAAAATTAAAAAGAAAATTAGCAACTAAAATTGCAACTGATAGAGTTTACTAAATTTCAAATCAATTTTTATAAATAAGAGATGCAGAAATAGTTATACATTTTTGAAAGAAATAGAAAAGAAAATTTTAAAACAATACTATTATTCTTCAAGCGCAACTCCTATTAAAGTCCAATACATTGAGTTTAAAGGAATAGCTTTATTCGGAAACATAATTATAACCATTCTTGTTTCCATAGCTGCAGATGGCCTCAAACTTTGTGGCGGGGGGAGTTCTTACCGTAAACAAACTATAAGAAAGCAGTTCTGTTGCATTGCCCAGTTGAATAGCATTAAGTCTAATTTTCTTAATGTGTATTAAGAAAATAATATAAGATAGACACATATAAGAATAAAATATTTTATCTTTAGAAAAATTTAAATAGTTTTTAGTGTTATGTTTCAAACTTTTACAACTCAACAAAATCATTTTGGAATTAAAAAAAATTCCAAGTAGTTTTTCAGTTGTCTTCTTGACATTATATTTAGTATATGTAAAATATTATAGAAAATGTGCAACTTTAATGTGTAAAATAGTATAGAAAAAGTGAAACTAAAAAAAATAATAATAATAATAAAATAAAACTGAAACATGTAAATTCTCCAAATTAAATAAATTTATTTTTTATCAATATAAAAGCATTTGATTTTAAAATACTAGACCTAAAGATCCAGGAAAAAAAAGTTTTTACAATTGCAGCTATATATTATTAGTTTCAAGGCAACTAATAGCAAACACATTTTGAGCAAATGGTCACATTAGCCCCAGCCATTTTATAGAAACACTTCTAAAAAGGCATTTCAAGTTCATAATAATTTTCAGACATAAATTTGAAAAAGAAAAAAAAAGAATCTATGATTCTTCTATCTATTCTTTGATTAGTAATTTTTATTAATAGCAAGCATACCAATCATTAAGCTAATTATAGTGTGACCTTTATTTATTTTTTAGTCTGACTAGAAAGCAGTTTTTTTTTGCATTGCCCAAGAGATTAATAATAGGTCTGATTTTCTTAATTAATTTGTATCGAGAAAATTACATAAAATAGACACATATAAGAATACATTTTCTAACTATAGAAAAAGTCAGATAAGTTTTAGTACTATGTTTCAAACTTTTACAACTCAACAAAAACATTTTTTGAATGAATTTTGTTTCCCAGTTGTTTCCCTGTCGACTGACTTCTTGAAGTTCAATTGAATGTATACAAAATACTACAGAAAATGCGCAACTTGGACATTTATGAGTTACGAAGCTTAAAATTTAATGTTATAAAGAAATAAAATAATTTACTGGTGGAAGATTATCCAGCAAGGCAGAAACTTCATCATGTTGACGCTCCATGTCAATGCTCTAAAATAAAGTATTAGAAATTTTACTGAACACGAATTGAACTGTGCTCTAAAACAAACACCATTAAAATGAGAAACAGAAATTTCATTGAACAAACAATTATTTAATAAAGAAATAAAGGGATAGGTATTTGTAATTTATTTTACTTCTTCTCCATTTGAGGAAAAAATATGGTAAATTTCATAAATTTAGAAAAAAAGGTTCATTTAAATAAAATAAAAACTGGAAAAACATAAAACTTAACAATTAATATCAATTAAAAATTTAAAAAAAGATTGACGCCTTAATATAAATAAACTTTGCATTATAATCACACAATTTCAGAATGCTAGAATGTGGAATCATTAAATAAAAACTAAAGCCTGAATAACTTTAATAACATAATCAATATCATCAAAAGTTTTAAACTCTTTTTATTTTCTATCCATTAAAACAATTAGACAACATCTCATCATATGGCCGTGCTATACCATTTTACAAATTACTATCTAAGTAGCGTATAACAATCTAAGTTACTTTTTGAAAAATTGGCTATTATAAGGAAACGTCTTGTTTTGAGAATAATGCACGGTTCATTTATATCTTGAAACCATCAAATATAAGATTATTAAGAGTATTAATGTAGATCTACAATGCTAACTCAAACCACACATATTGTAGCAAAATATTACAATTTCTCATCAATAATAGCGTGCTAATATAAAAATTTTTATCTAACTATAAAATTTCATGATCAACAAATGATTTTAGTAACAGTAAGCAACTACCAACTACTAAATTACTTGCAAAATATTTTAGAGAGTGATAGACAATTAAAAACTAAAGCTTTCAGAATTCTTGATAATTTTGCCAACACTTTAAAAGCTTCGCCACCAGAAGACTGTAATAAAGTGACATTTCATATAAACTTTTGAATCATAAGCATGTACAGTAGGGAATCGATTATCCGGAACAATCGGGACCATCGCTATTCCGGATAACTGATTTTTCCGGTTTTCTGAATCGCTACAAAAAGCCGTTTTTTTATTGTTAAACGCAACTAAAAAAAAAATTTGGAAATAATCTTAAAAAGAAGAAAAAATTATGAAGTAATACACTAATGATTATTTCCAAAATGATGGCAAGGTAAACATCTTTCAAAAAAGAAAGAAAAATCCTAAAATCTTATGAGGAAAAAAAAAAATTATTTTTTTGAAAATGGCGGGAAAATTTATTGAATTTCGTTCCGGTTTTTCGGTTTTCTGAATTCCGAATAACGGGTTCTGTACTGTAGTAGGAAAAAAAATAATTTTATTTCAAATTTACAAAACAAAGAAGCATGGATTAAAATTTAAACTTAGCTACAATTGGAAGAATTTTTTCAAATAAGCATAAAAAGTTGCCAGCTTTGAGTAAATAGGATATGTATAATATTCTACTGTTTAAGCCATTTAATATATAAAATGTACAAATTAAATGGATTTTCTACATTTACTGAATACAAAGCAAAATTTATATACATACAACGAAAGATGAAATTTAAATTAAAAGTTAGTAAAATTTGCTAATTTGTGCCACAGGCATTCTAAAAAAAACTTATTCTTTCATAAGTCGAAGAAAAAAGTTCAATTCAAAAACTTTTTAATTTACACATAAATAATGTACAAATTTTACAAAATATACACTTAGTATGAAAATTTCATTTAACTGGATTCAATTTAGATAACAGTAATTATAATATAATTACAGTAATATGTTATATACAGTAATTATAATATTAACAAATATCTTTTTCATATACATAATTATATGCTTACAAATAGGAGGTCTGACAAACGAGGTTCATTGCCGACATTTCCCATTTTCATACCTGAAAAAAATTTATAAATTTGTTTAATCCCATTATCACTTTAATGAGAAAATCAATTTAAAACAATTTATTTTATGATTGTAATTAGTTTTCAAAATGAAAAAAAAATTTACAAAGAATGTTATTAAAGAGATTTAAGGCAGTATTTGATACGATGAGTTCTTCGCAAAGACAACTTTTTCTTAAGCAAACAAATTTGTCTTTTAATCATTAAATGGCCTGAAATGGGAAAAGATGATTTCTGTAAACTTTAAATGAATCCTTAAATATTGATTGATTTTTTAAAAAACATAATTTTATTCGAATAAACAGGGGCTATCAAAAGTTGTAAAATTTTAGAAGCCGGGAAATATTCTTAAGAGCAAGCTTTTAGAATTATTGCCTTTATCTTATTCAGTGCAAATAAAAAACTAGTTTCACATAGACGTACTCGACTATTTTTCAGTTAAATGGATCATATTATATACATAAATCTCTTTTCACAATAAAGTTAAATACTAAATTAAAAAAACTAATTTATCAAACATTTTAAAGAGAATTCTTTTAACTTGTAATTCCTAAACAAACTATGAAATAAACAATAGGTAAATTAATATTGTTACTTTTAACTCTGAACAAACATTAAATAGGATATAGATAGAATAGCCAGAGTTCTTCCTTAAGTACTTTTAGAAGGGTGGCCTTTTACACAGTAAATGCACCCTCCTTGCCATTAAGTAAGTGCCTTTTTTTTTAATGCAAAAAAAATGCTCTTTTTTTATATTAAGTAAAAAAAAAATTGCAATAGCAGAAGGCAGGAAATTCAGATTAGCATAACTAATTATTACCATAATTATTTTTAGACGAAGTTAATATGTATAAAATATTATTCACCATATTTATTTGAGTATTCTGAATTCCATTTTTAAGGGCATTAAATATAATTTGGAAGATAAGTGTCCTTCAAAACAGAGGTGCCCTTGTTTTTGAAAAAGCACCCAGCTCTTTTTTATTTTTGGGAGATCTCCGCATTAACATTGCCTTTCAGTTTTAGCATCAAAATATTATCTATTAATTAATACTTTTTTCCAACTAAAATCTTACTTTTTTTAGTCACCTCGCAAAAATTGGCTAGCATTTTAATAATATCATAATAAAAATAGTGACAGTTCTAATAAATTCTAAAAAAAAAAATTTCAGAAGTCTAAAAAAATATGATTACACAACTACACAGTGGGTAAAACAGCTGATGTCAAAATGTTCTAAATGAAGTTTAATAAATATTGCTATGCTGCAACTTATTTTGCTTAAATTTTAATTCATTTGGGGTATATTTTGGCATTGTGATTTGTTGTGCCAACAACTGCCAAGACGCCAAATGGATTTTCACTTACAAATTTTTTAAATAAAATAAAAAAAACAAGAGGTTTGAGAGAGGTAGCTACGAGTTATACCCTTGGAGTTGGTCCCCTTCAGAGATTTTTTTTTTTTTTTTTTTTAGTTTCTTGTGGACAGCTGCCCAGAAGTTACCAAGACTTGGTGATTATTCTGCAACAAACAATCTACCCAAATTTGGTAAAATGTAAGTTAATTTTACAATACTATAGTTAGTTACAGAACTTTGTACTAGTTAATTTTACAACATGCTATTTACATTGAACTGTAAAAAAGTGAAATTATGAAAGTCCAGAAATATTTCATTCTATTATATGCAAGGAATAGTCAATGATTGTCGTTCAAAATACAAATTTTAAAATCTCTTTGACATAACAAAACCACTTTACAATAACCAAGTTGGAAAAAATATTCATCAACTATTTTAAACTAAAAACTTTTGAAATTAATGAGAATTTAAAAACTTCATTCTGAACTCCATTGTAAAGATTTTGTCAACAACAACCTTAAATATAAACAATTTGTTTACTGTGTTTTAAGTATATTTATTAGCTTCAATTCTTAATAAAAAAAGCTTAATTAAAAAGGAATTCGCAGTTTATATTGTATATTAATGAAATAGTTTGTTCAAGGTTACCATGACAATCCATTAATCACCATTCAAAATATCGCCAATTATTTTTTTTTTTAAATTTTTATTAGTTACAATAAGTACTAATAAAAAAGAAATAAATTTGTCGTAATTTTTTAGGGTTCTACAGCTATGTTATTTTGACCCTGACCTTTGGTTTGTTGATTGCAAGCATGTTGATGCATTCATGTGTAACGAAACTGATAATTACAACTGGTTACAAGTACTTCACAATATCTATTTCAATAATTCTTTGACGAACAAGTAAATCTATTCATTTTATTTTATTAATTTATTGAACAGAGGAAGTAAAGAACTTTTCCACGTGGTTGAAAAAATTAGTGTAGAACTTTCCCCCTTATATTACATAAACACAAACTTCGTAAACCTCACCTAATTTTTGAATTAACTTTAATTCAAATTACATTCATCTTTTGAATGTGACAATTATTCCAACTAAATAGTTAGATACCATTGTGCATTAATTAATATAATAAATAAATTTATATTACGAAGTTCTTTTTTTATTTTTTTAACTTCTTGTTCTTGTTGTTGTTTACGGCATCAGTTAGTGACATCATTAAGGTCAAATTAAGTTGTGTTGTTAATTTCCTTCCATAAATATTTTTTTTTAATATACTCGCAGTTATTTCAAAATTTTACATCAAATATCAAAATTAAAAATAAAGAAAACTAAGCAGATTTAAAAATTATTTTTTTAATAAATTAAAAATTGAATTCATAATATTTGTTCACGATTCGTTAAATGAAATTTGGCAATAGTCATTTGTTGACAAAAATTGCATCAGAAAGAAATTTGGATAAAAAATTCATCAAAATCATGGCATCCGTGATTGCACGTTCTACCTATTTAAGTTTTATTTTACGGTCATTTAAATCTTTTCCTAAGTATAAATTGGAGTCTCAAACAGTTCAACCTATTCGATTAAAGAGGTGAATACTTGCACAGAGTTAAATTTTCATAATCTCTAGTAAAACTCTGATTGTAGCTGAATCCCTAAAGAATTTGCCGGCAATTCTCAAGTGAATTCTTAAATACTGATCAAAACTGTTAAAAAATCTTTCTGTCTTCTTCAATAATCATTAGTTTCATTAATCTAAAGTTATTGTGTGCATTTGTTGAAAAGAAAATAGTTTTGATCGTCATTTACTAGTTCGACGATCGAAAGATTTTATTACTACTTTGACGTGCTTATTTGTGTTATAGGGTTTTTAATTTATTTTCGTATTATTCCAATTCCAGGCGCAAAGAAGAAATAATATTACCACAAGTATTACTGCAATAGGTAAAGGCGACCATAATAATTTGGTAATTGTGTGCAGCCTTTGGAAATCTAATAGTACCATTATTTGTAATAATGGGATCTAGTAGGAGATATTTCCGTATACTGATTTTCCGCACCAAGTAGTATGACATAGGTGCCCAAAGGATTTCAAACTTGCAAATTTTCTTGCAGAATTACGTACAGGTTTGCCTGGGAGTGGGTGCGAGTTGAATTCATCAAGTTGGTCTCCTTCTGTGGTGGGTTTTTTTTTTAACTTCTCTTTCTCGTAGGCCGCTTCGTGGAAGTTGCGAAAACTTTATAATTATTCTGCCGCAAGTCACAACAAGAATATCTTCCTGTGTATCGTAAATTATAAATTCATTGTAAATGATTAAAATGTTTGTATATAAGGGTACTTTTTAAATAGTTGGATGCTAGGAAATTCAACTATTTTTTTATTTGCTCTGTATTTAAAAAAAATCATGTAATATTTTTTCTTAATGTGAATGCAAAAAGTGTGATAAAGTTCCATCCTCCCTTGAAAATGTGAGAATAGTACCCATAATATTGGAATGTATATTATTTTATATGCTGATGAAAAAGAAATTATTGCATTTACAATTATACATACAGTTTTATTCAAATTGTGGGGGCACTTTTTTTGTAAACACAAATTGTTTCTGTTACTATTATTAAAAATATCTTCCAGAAAGATTTCAGTGATAGGGAGGATTTTTTCGAAAAGCTGGGGAAAAAATTAAAACTCTGTCACAGGATAGTAAAGATACGAAAATCCCTAATTTTTTATTAATAACAACAATAGAGTGTGTGAGGAAAAGGAATTAAAATAAGCATATAATAATTTAATTTAGTTGAAATGAAGAGTAAATTTATGGACTTTAATGAGATATTTAGTAGATATCATTAATTATGAGCGATACATAGTCACTTTATTATTGGATTAATGAAAATGTTGAAGGAATAGTAATATCTTATTGTTACTGGTTCTTCGCATCAATTTTCTTAATTACTAACATTTCAGATAGTGGTTTGCTCAGAAGTATTTTCCTGCTTACCTTCAAGAGTACCAGATTCTGATTTTTTTTTTTTTTTTTTAAATTTGCGTCTGTTACCAAAAGTTATTGGTAGAAGTTTTGGTGCAAATACCCATACAGAAATCTTTCTTACTTTTAATAATTACATTGTGTGCTTGTTTGTTTGTTTTTTTTACAAATTGCCTATTTAGAGCGTTTGCCTCCCAATGAGGTGAACCCGGTTCGAATCCTGGCAGTGGCTGATTGATACGAATTTCGCATCCGGCTCGCATCGACCACAGTACTGACGTAAAATATCCTCAGTGGTAGACGAATCATACGCTTGAGTCCCCTTGCCGTAAGGCTAACAGTGTGAGGTTCTCGTGGTCTTCTGTCCATGTAACGCAAGTGTGGGTTAGTTCCATCAAAAAGTTCTCCACGAAGGCAAATTTAAGCCAATACTTGATGCAGGAGTTCCCTTGTCTTCTGGATTGAGTTCAAAATTACAAGGCTACATAGTTAAAAATTAGTAGTCATGATCCCAAAAATTGGGTTGGCTGTTCAACGACTGTTATAAAATTGCCTGTTTAGTCTAGATAAAGTATATAATTAAAATCAGGGGTCTGTCTTAGTCAAATTTACTACCTTCGCAAATTCAACTTTAGGGAAATCAATACAAAAACTTTTTCCTAAAATTTTATTTTTTTACCCCTTAAGAAACGATAAATCCATATTTTTGTGTTGATTTTTTTAATATAATTTTTTTTAATTTTCACAAATCATGTCTAAATTTTCACAAAATAGGTACCTCTCAGAAAAACCTAGACAGACCCCTGAAAATATGGTTAATATTTAACATTCTTTTTTAATCCCCTGATGTTTTCCATTTCCATAATGTACCCCATTCAGCTTTTAAAGTTTTTAGCAAATTTTATTAAATTAAAGTTTTTAGCAAATATGGCATACATATTGGATATAATAAGTTTTAAAATTAAAATTTTGGTTGTATTCTCTTATTTATTTTCTACAGGACTCAAAATTATGCCTCAGCTGTTGGATTACGTCAATATTCAAATCAAGCTACTGAAGAAGCTGAAACACTTAAGGAAGGGAAAAGGGAAGAGCAGTTGCCACAAGAAAAAGAGGTTGTGAGACTTCTTGAAGAAAATGAAAAATTTGCAGAAAAGGTTAAAGATTTAGAGGTAATTGAATTTTTAATTCAGCCATCCATAACTATACTTGCTAACTTCTAAATTTTAAAACAATGAGTTAAATCAATTTAACTATTTTTCTCAGCAATGATTTGAATAATAATCTTGTCTTAAATTTTTTTATTTCAAGTTTCTTAATATTTCAATTTTTTAAATAAAAAATCCATGTAACATGCCATTTAGAATATAATTTGTTATCACATTTTTTTTTTTTTTTTTTTTTTTTTTTTTTTNTATCACATTTTTTTTTTTTTGCCCCTGTAAAGTGTAGAATTTTTTTAGATATTTTGTTTAAAATGATTAAATTTATATGTATAGTGTGCAAAAAAAGAAAGAACACCCTTAACGACTAGACCAATGAAATCAGACACTAAAATATACTTTTCCTTCTCTTAATAAACATACTTTTTTTTTTGTTGTCCTATTTGGATTCCTTACCCACAAAAAATGGGAAGTTGCTGCAATATGGAAAATAAAGTCCTAATAATTTGGTCAAAAGCCATCAAAAGTTTGGGTCCCTTAATGTAAATTTTACTTTTTGTGAATTTTGCCATTTCTCGAGAATTTTTTAATCAAACCAAAATGTATTTGAGCCCAATTTTAAAATTCATTTAAGGGCTGCCAACCGGACACCTGCACAGTACCCAGCCGATCGGTCAGCTCCACCCGTGGCATTTATTGAAAACCATTACATTTTACAAACATTACAGATGATGGCAACACAAATAATACAAGCTTGCTCCGGGAGTGTCGCCTTATAGTGCGTAAAGCCGACGACGCTCCCTTATATTGAGCAATTACAGAAATTCAAAAGAAACAGTAAAGTGGTTGTAGTTAACAAGGGATGAGTCTTGTCTCACAAAGAGAATGGTGACCACAATTTACACTGTTTAAAACATAAAACATTACATTCAAACATTGCTGTAGAAATTGACAAAATTTGTACAAATGGCAACAAACAAACCAAGGTACAAAGGTAAATCACAAATGGTTAAGTCGTGGTCAAAACAACCAGAAATTAAAACCAATAAATAAGAAACACAGGAGCAGTAAAAGAGCAAAACACTAAAAGATCGCCAAACATTGTTGGTAAACAACCAGCAAATAAAATTTATTTAACAAAAATGTAATAATTGAAACAAACTTTGAATTGTCATGTATACAAAATTTGATCGAAATCAGAAGAATGGATGTTTGACTGAATGTAAACCATAACAAGCTTCCTTAAAGCAGAAGAAATTTGAAAAACTTCTGGTGTATCACTCCGTTTATGGTATGCTTACGAGGTGATGTGTGAACTAGTTTAATATTCTAGGAAGTTTTGTTATTGTAATTTGTGTTTTAATTTTTCACATAATTTCACCATTCATAAGAGTAATTTACAAATTTTAACTGATTGTGAGCCTAAAACCAGGGTTGGCAAGGTTTAGGACAGCATGGATTAATCCACGGTTTAAACCGTCCTGTCCAAAACCCCTTTGTCCAACTGTCTTAAACTGTCCAAAACCCTTTTACTCAAATTATGTCACAATTTTATCTGAGCAATATTTAAGAGGTAAAATAAACATAGAACTAATAACATATTGATAATTAAATATACTAGAGAATATTTGTTTTTAAAAGTATAATGTTTTATTAATATTGTTTGACTCTTCAATTTAAACAAAGGAAGATTAATCAGTAATCAAGTTCAATTGGTCCTCTCATTCAATAGTTCATAACTGAAGTTTGGCCTTGCCATANCATATTTCTTAAAAAAGGAAAATTGTGAAAAAATTCTGATATAATATAAATGAATATTATTACGGAATTGCTATGAAAAATTAAAAAGAATTATTATAAAATCTGTCTGATAAGATTGTGTTTCGTTGCACATTTAATAAAAAAAAATCGCGTTTTCTGTTGAAAATTTGACAAGAATTAGTAAGAAAATTTGCAATTTTCATCGAATTTTAATGACCCAAATATTCTTATCCCCCCCCCCAAAAGAAATAAGTTAAAAAAATTAAAAATTAAATAAAAACTAAATTTTAAAAAAATTATTAGCGTATTTTAAAAATAAAGAATAAATATTACTCTGTATTCAAAACCGTTTTTTTTTTAATTAAAAATCATATATATATAAAAAAATATTATAGTATAAAATCAAAAATTTTCAGTGGCTCTTTAAAAGCGGGAAATTTTGTAAAATTGTAACTTTTGGCTCTTTCATTTCAAAAGGTTGCCGACCCCTGCCCTAGTGCCATCTGCACTTAGCTTTTCACGGTCAACCATCCATAGCTCATGTCAAATAAAATTTAAAATATATGATTTTTTTAAATTTTGATATCTTAACAGGAGTCTGTTTAGAAGAAATTTGGGTCCGTTAACGGACCCCTCACAAAATATCTTTTCATAAAAACGGACCCTTCACAAAATATTTCAACTTAAAAACAGATCTTTCACAAAATAATTTATCTTTTAATCGGACCCTTCACAAATTTGTTTATCTTCATTATTGTTTTGTTAATCGAATAAACCCTTCCCAGCAAGGGGGGAGGGAGAAAGGCAGATATAAATGAACTAAGTTTTGTCTTTGGTAGATGCTCTTCCTTTCGTCTGAAATAAATATTCTGCTGCAGCAGTGTAGGCTTAATACCGAATATTTGTATGTTGCATCTCTAATTTAGTATCAGCAATTGCTGTTTATTTTTTAAATTTAATTTTTTTAATTATAATTTTACAGTGTTGAGCATAATCTTTTGTATGTCTTTACAATTTAAAAACTCCTTGAAAACGTTTTTTGCAAAAGCAGGACCCTGGTTGAAAGAATTTGACTTAACATTTATTTTATATTCCCAAATTACAAGTAATTTTTTTCACAATTTTACAAAAACGAACCTTTCACAAAATGTCTGGACAGAGCAGACCCCTGCTTAAACTATTTGAGCAATTTTGTTCAAATTTTGTATTTTGTTGTCGAAAATTACATTTAAAATTATGAAACAATTTGTATTACGCTTTGAATTTTTTCTGACTCTTATTACATAAAATTATAAATAATTATTAAAATATTTTTTTAATGGAATAATCTTTGTATACTATGAACAAATTTAATGCAAAATTCTTTATTGTGTGCCAACATTTTTCGTTTCCCTCACTAAATTCTCGAAGTATGGGGAAATTTGAAAAAAGTAAAATTAAGATTAAGGGTTACAAACACTCAACTGTTCTGTCGACTTAAATATTGCTTACTGTTGTTGATTTCTCAGATTTTTCTCCTTCCCCCATATTGTAAGGGTCCAAATTAGTCAAAAAAATAAAAATTTTGTTTAATCAAAGAAAGTCCATTTTTGTGCTGAATTTTATAATTTAAAACATTGTCTTCTCTAGTTAATTAGCATAATGTAAGATTAGACCCTCAAACCATTAAGATTAAATCTGAGTATGTGAAAATCTGATTATTAAATCAAAATTTATTCTTAGTGTTCCTTTTTTTTTTCTTGTGCTCTGAACATTGTATTTTATTACTGGTGAGAGTTTATAATGTTCACTTTAAGGATATAGGTAAATAGGCTTTTGACATTTCTTACTGATATTTTAATTAAAAAGTATAGTTAGTTAAAAAAGACTTCAAAAATGGTTAAAAATTAAAATATGCATCTTTAATGAAATTTTTAGATTTCTTAAATAGACCATATCATAACTATTTCTTTTTCTTTTTTGCCGTTTGTTCTTAATTTTGTTGTGATTAAATGTATTATTATCTTAATGTAATCTAAAGAAATCTTATCATAACATTTTGAACATTTTTGATCAAAACAAATTTCCTTACTACTCTATGTCTGTTTTTTCATGTTATACTGTTAATTTTGTTGTGTATTTTAATTAAATGTATGTATCTCAGTTGCTAGGATAAATTCCTCTCTCATTTCTATATTATGTTTTAATTTTTCCTTTTAGGTCAGATGTTTTTATATATAAGTAATAATATGTGCAATTTTGTACCAAACTTCAGATTTCTCTTTTTGTTATTTATAATCTCTTTTTTTTAGTATTATAAAATTTAACATATTTTTCTAAACTTCTTTTAAAATGAATCTTCATTCCATTACTTAAAAAATCCCTTTTGCCCGCTATTTCAGTAATTCTGCTTAACCATCAAATATGTCAAAAATGTCAAAAAAATAAGTAAGGATGTCTGATTCTCCATCGTGAAAAAAAGAAGAAGAAAACTTTCAGCAGATTAATGTAAGAACAAAAGTAAATAAGTTTAAAAAAAAAAAAATTCTTCTGTTTTAATAGCAGAAAGGGAAAACTGAAATAGTTTTGGTTGAATTGATGCGGAAATTTCGGCTTTAATTCTTTACCAAAATATTATTACTGAATTATTACTTTTCTTTCCTAAATATTTATTATTTATGTATGTCTCCTTTAAGCATATAANTTTATTTAAACTAAAAATCAGTTACTTAACTTGTGTATAGCTTAACATGTGTGTGCTAAAAGGCTATCTTAATTTTTCTTAACTGGTATGGTCAGAATTTTGCAATGTTGTAATTACATGCACTTAAATAAAAATAGACTAAAAGTCAATCTTCAAAAATTTGACTCCAAATTTGCTAATTATTTAGTGCTGACGATATTTTAAGTTACAGACGCAGGCACAAAAATGTATGTTCTCTGACTAAATATGCCTTTTTTATTTCGATGAACATTGGAATAACCTGGTAGGTGTATGTCCAAAAGGTCATGAGTTTGAGCCCCGTCGGCCGAAGGCTTCCGTGTAGTAAATGGTGACTAATGCACATTAAATCTGTCGGGTTATTAAGTCCTCCATGTTCCAATAACAAATCATACCTCTGGGGGGGGGGGACTAAATTAAAAATTGATCATTCTCTGGTTCAGTCCGCCCTTTAAAAGGATTGTAACTTGTTTTTTGCTGAAGTTGTATTCTTGGCCAAAGATGATGTCGCTGAAAAGCCAAGAAATGCACCCTCTGCTTTAAATTAGCTTGGTCTCACCTAGCAAGGATCTGCTATTGGCAAGTGGTATTAGAAATATTTCACTTGAATATGGATTTTTGATCATCTAAGTATAAGGGATAGCCGCCATCTAGAAATTATGGTTGCAATAGTTAAACTGCCAAAAGAGGGGTTGGAAGTTTAGAGCCCTTAATGTTATTTTCACTTTTTGTGTATTTTACCATATTGCAGAAACTTAAGCAAATCCTGTTTTTCAGGAACTTTTTAGCAAATCAAAACTTTTTTGATTAAATTTTTATCAAAAGATACCATGTAAAAGATTATTTTAGTAATTATTATTTTATTTGGATAATAATGGTAAAAAAAAAATTTGTTTCATATAAATTTTCGAATCCTCTTAAACTTCATAATTTTAAATTATAAAATACTATTTCTAAAAAATTAGTCTAATAGTTCTTGAGAAATAAATATTTCAGAATATGACTATTTTGAAATTTTATAACTTAAAAACTATAATGAGCTGATATTGTTCTAATTTGTATTTCATAATTTAAAAATAACTCTTTGACCCTTTCTTGTTAACGTGGTTTGTTTATTATTATTATTGATGATGTTTGTTGTTGTTGTTTTTTATCTTTTTCTAACATTTTTATTTAATTTTCAAGCATGTTGAAAAAGAAACATTCTGCCAAAAACTCTTATTACACGCTGTTCAAATTATATAAAAACTGGTGAAGACATATGGTGACTCTGACAATTTGGATTTTTTAATGTGGCTGTGTGATAGATTATTCACTAATTTACTTTTATAACATTATAAGTTTTATCAACTAAAAACTTCTATGGACAGTTTCTCTTACCAAGTTTTTCATATTAGCATTTTTTTTTATTTACATTATAATTTAATCTTTTTTAAGTAAAATTATGTGTTACTAACATTTCATGATAATATTGATGCTTATAAAATATTATGTATTTCTGATTTATTATATCTATATACTATTACTTAATGAAATTGCTTATCAGAAAATTTTCTTCAAACACCTTTTTTTTTCATGTGCTTTTTCTATTTTTTGCAATCTTAAGCTTTTATTTCTTAAATAAACCAATCTCAATGTAAACTCATAAACTTTTTTATTTGTCAGGATAAATACAAGCGATCTTTAGCAGACAATGAGAATATCCGAACCAGGATGCGTCGAGAAATCGGGGATGCTAAACAATACGGAATTCAAAGTTTCGTAAAAGATCTTGTTGAAGTGGCTGACGTCTTAGGAAAAGCAACTGAGTCAGTTCCCAAGGAAGCTCTTTCTGAAGGTAACACTCATCTGAAAAGTTTGTTTGAAGGCCTGCAAATGACCGAAGCCCAGTTGCATTCAGTTTTGAAAAGACATGGTGTTTTCCAAATGGATCCCATCGGTGAAAAGTTTAACCCAAATCACCATGAAGCTCTTTTCGAAATGGAGGATTCCTCTAAGGAAGCAGGCACCGTGGGAGCGGTCACCAAAGTCGGTTATCGATTACATGAACGATGTGTACGTCCTGCAATGGTAGGAGTTGTAAAAGCTAGTAAATCATAAGATTTCGAATTAATATTTGTAAATTATGCCACGTAGACGTTTAACATCAACTGTGTAAATAATGTTGAACAAATTAAAATAATGTTTTCTATATAGTTTTGATTGCTTGAAATGTTGTCTGATGAATGTCTTGTCGTCTTGACCTATTTTGTTTGATTGAACATCATTTGACTGTTAACCTCAAACCTGATACTTTTAAGATATTTTATAAGGATGCTTTCCTTTACAGGTTGAAATGGAGAAATTTTGCCAGTTAAGGCTGTTTTTCAATGGCTCCGTCTTAAAATGAAATGCTTTTTTAGCGAATAATATTTTATTTTTATAAGTTTGCAACTGTTACTCATGACTGTTAGGTCAAGCCTATCTAAAGCCAGCCCTGTCTGCGCAGTTTCACATTAGGGGGGTTTAATTTCAGCGAGTGATTAAATTACTCGATAAGTCTTTATCTGACTCCACAACTATACATGTATAATGTAAAAGTTCCAAATTCACTGGCGTGTGATCCCCCTTTTTCTAAAAGACTCATTTCTTTGTTGATTAGTCAATTTTATTCACCATAATCTTTTCTTGTATGGAACTCTGAGAGAAGCATGTATTTTTGCATAGCTAACCTTAATTCATCTTTTGATGATGTCTTTGGATCATTATCTTCAATCTCTTTTGCAGTATGCTTGTTTTCATGTCCATTTTCATCTTCTAATACATTGACAAAATCTGCTATTTTTCTTTAAAGTTTTCTTTGTGGTTCTAGTCCAAGATGTAATTTTGTAATGTTCTCCTTCTTTAGATTGCATTTTAGGGGGTTTAAAAACATCAGTTCCTTGATCATCAGGTTGCAGGTAATGCGAAACAATTGCTCACTCTTCTCTGTCAAATGTATGCTGAATGCTTAGTGATGTGAGGCAGACATCAATAAGCATTTTAAAAGCGAAGAATTCTTTTTGTTTTCAAATCTCAATCTTGTGGGATTGGTGTGACAATCCCACAGTCTCTGGTGCGGAATAGCATTCCCTATTTGTGATTTAATTTTATAACATTTAAAAAGTTACACAAGTACTCCATTATCTGTCTTCATAAAAATTGAAAGTCATTCATTTATTTTCATCTTTAAAAAAATATCTCAGCAAATTGCCGATTTTTAAAAGCTTAATAACTTTTAAAATATTTAAGGTATTTTTCCGTTCTAAAGTCTGGCTAATTCTTTATGCCAAGATTGTATATAATTTAAAAAACTTTGTTCCAACTTTAAGGTATTAAGGCTTTTTAATTTTGCTTCACAAAAGTACTTTAAAAAAATACACTTAAGCAATTGTATAATAAATATTAACATATTTTTGATTACCCAACTGAAATAATATAAATATCCTAAAAATAAAGATGTTGATTTAGTTACTTATTGTAAAAGTAGATTCTCCTGAGGCTTACATCGTAAACATCGAGACCATTTAATTTTATAGTATGTTACTAAAACAGCTATTTGATTTTTGGGTAATGAAATGAATATTGAAATTTTTTAATATTTTTTATGTTTTAGTACTGATACTAACTGTAGCTACAGTTAATTATCGACTCTTTCTTTGATTAATTATGGTATTACATTTCGTGCAACTTTTTATCATTAGTTTTATTTTATATTTAAATTCAAAGAGCTGTGTATTATTAATGCTCATTCATTAGTTTTTAAAATAACAAATGAATATGCTCCTTAGAGTAAATTTTTTTTTATTAATTTTCAGCTATGCAGAAGACCATTGAGTAAAATTCAAAAATTGGTTTAAAAGTAAAGTTAAAAAAAATAATAAATAAGCATTTAAGTAGTGTTTTTGTTGACTAAATTATATAGTTAAATGAAACTTGTAATTGATTAGACTTTTATTTTCTCATTAAAAACCCTTTTGTTATTGCATATTACATGGATTTCCATAGATTTTATTAATATTATGTATTATCTTGTTGTACCCATAGATAGCATCTAACTCTCATTAGTTTCTTTTTTTTTTAATCTACAAAAAAAAATTTTATAATAAGCCTTTTTAATTTGTGAGGTAGAATGTTTCATTGACTACAATGTATACAAACAAAACAAAAAGTTAGAATAGAATTAGGCTTTAAAAACTGTAAGTGGTACTGCTATCTTCCCAACAGATTTTTACCAGAGTTATCACAATTATGATTTGAAAGATAACTACCTACTGGAAAAACCTCTGTGCAGGTTTTCCAAGTGAATTCTTAACTAGATAAATAAAAACTAGATAAACACTGTCATTGTAAAAACTTGTACCAGGATTAAACCTTTCCTACTACTGTTTGATTACAAACAGTTTATTATTATTATTTTTCTAATGATAAGGGCACCCTTCCCCCTGTTCTTGATTGCTCACCAACCCTTAAAACTGATTACACAGTTCTTCAGATTACAACAAAAAGTAAATGCAAACATTTTTGAAGCCTGTGGCTGTGTATTATCTATTTGTAGCATTTATGAAATTGTAATGTATAAATTTTATTTCCAATCGAATATCAAAGGGATAACAAAAAATCAATAAATGAGAGAGCAATACACTTGCCGTTCCTCTGGAGCTGTGGCAGCAGGGCCGGATTAACCTATAGGCACACTAGGCACGTGCCTAGGGCCTACGAAAAACTTGGGAGAAAAAAATTTTTTGTCAAAAATAGTTTAGCTTTAAAAACAACAAGTGTATTTTGCACAAAATTATGAAGATACAAATAAAAATATAATATTTTACAGTAATAAATTATTTTGCAGAATCTTATGATCTAATACAGTGATTCTCAACCTTTCTTTTGTGACGGCACAATTTTAACGATTTCGAAATTTGCAGGCACACAATTAAAAAAAATTAGTTTAAATGTTGTTTACTTACCTATAATACACTGTGTTAAATAGTTAGTGATAATTTTGAATGTGAAATAAAATAATATGTACAACAAAGCACGTTTATTAAGAGATAATTATTTCTTTCGACTAATTTTGTATTAGTTGATAAGTTATTTATTTTTTTGCTAGTTATTAATTGTTAACTTGTTTTCTATAGTTATNAAATTTTTGTGAACAAGAAAACCGAAATTATCGTACAAATCACTGTAAGCTTTATGCCTTTTAGTCATTTCTGAAATTAATAAATCTAAAATGGCGTAATACGTTTCCATACGAAGAAAATTTTAGCATATATTTTAAAAAGAGGGGAGGGCCCATAAACGGCTGTGCCTAGGGCCTATGAAAGGTATAATCTGGCTCTGTGTGGCAGTGACTATAATTTTAAGATTAAATTATTTCAAGCAGGGATGTTGGGTCGATATTTGATAGGCCTTGGCTTGGGTCAAAAAGAGAATCAGACGAGAGTGAAACTTCCCTCTTTGAAATGTACTATTTCTTGTTTATATAGCAGCAAAAAAGAATTAAAACTTTTTAATACTTTTTTTTTCAATTACATCCTTATATTTGCTTTATTAAACATAATTCTTGTAGTCTAATACAAAAAAAGATCTCCAGGAGTGCCTTGAAATGATTAGAGGCACTTCATTAGTGTTTCAAGGCACTCTCCACCTGTGGAGATACCTCTTTTTTTTGTATTAGGCTGCAAGAATTATGCTTAATAAAGCAAATATAAGGATGTAAATTGAAAAAGAAAATATTGTAAATTAAAATATAATAATAATAAATAAAAAAAATTGAACTCCTTTCCATCAACACATCAAGAAAAATATTGCAGTCAGTTAATTATAGTTATTAATGCAATATAATTTATCTTATTTTCATAATAAATGTGAATTTATATATCTGTGATTTTATGTATTTGTATTGTTAAATTAACTAGATGTTTTCTATTTCATTAACACACGTCACATTTACAATAAGTTTTCAAAATTATTGAATTTTATTAAACGAAGTTATAAATCAGTTGGATGATGTTTAATGAAAAACATTTTGAAGGCAACAACAAAGAATAAAAAAATATTTTATTAAAAAAATTGCTTTAAAACACTAAATACAAATCTTCAATAAGTACTCAACAAGCAATTAATGCAATGGATTAAAAACTCATAAAAAATGAAAATTACAAACAATGAATGCATTTGTGATGAATTTATGTACAAAGTATTTTGCGTATGAAATGTTCCTTTGGTCTGCTTTGCCTGAGTTCTTTTTTTGCAAAACAAAATTGCAAATTAATAATTTGAGCTCAATAAATATAACTCAGTTAGACAACATTTACACACTAGGCATATAATTTATCAAATGATAACTCAAAGCTGGCTTGAAATGTTCACATCACACATATCTAAAAATGAAACTTGAGAATATTCCGATAATGATCAGCATGATTGGTATGTTTGAAATGGCCGCACTACTGACATCGTTAACTGGAAATGGGGAAGAAAGAATATATCAGCATAATTATAAATAACAAACTTTTGGTACTGTTATTATAATACATTGATTGGTGTAAAAACTGGTTTGTTTTATACGGAAGTATATTGTGATTGAAATATTACAAGTAATCCATTTTTAAGATTAATTCTTCAAACCACAGTCAAGACAAAAAAGATGAACGATAATAAATAAACTTTAAATTTATTTCTTCAATATAATGCAGGGTTCTTAGTTGTCCTGATTTTCCTGATGAAAAATATTTTATCCTGATATTTGATTTTTTTTGTACGATCAGAACATCTGGTTTCTATGAAATAAGTTGTAAAAAATTACATTTAAAATTATGTAAAAATTTTCATACCTTACAATTAGAGTTTTTTCCGATTATTATTAAATGAAATGATAAATAATTTATAAAAAATTATTTTTTTGCATGGAATTATCTTTGTATAATGTGAACAAATTTCATACAAAATTCTTTATTGTGTGCTAAAGTTTTTTGACTACCTTACTAAGTTCCTGCAGAATGGGGAAATTAGAAAAAATTAAAGGGTCCAAACTTTAAGCAGCTCTCTTGACTTAACTAATTGCTTTGTGTGACTAGATTTCTCAGGTTGTCCCCCTCCCCATATTTTGCGGGTCCAAATTTGTAAAAAAAAAATTCTGTCTATTCAAAGAAAGTCCATTTTTGTAACTTAGAATAGTGTCTTCTCTAATTAATTAACATAATGTAAGATTAGACCCTCCAACCATTGACATTAAGTCTGAGTATGTAAAAATCTGATTATTAAATCAAAATTTATTCTTAGTGTTCCTTTTTTTGTGCACTAAACATAGTATTTTATCACTAGTGAGGGTTTTCAATGTTCGCTTTAATGATGTAGGTAAATAGGCTTCTTACATTTCTTACTGGCTAATTAAAAAGAAAGTACAATAAAAACGACTTCAAAAATGGTTAAAAATTAAAATTTGCATCTTTATGAAATTTTTAGATTTGCTAACCAGGCAATGTCATAAATATTTCTTTTAGTACTGTTATCGTATTACATTCATTGTGTGAAAACTGGTTGGCTTTATATGGAAGTATATTCTGATTGAAATTATAAGTAATCCATTTTTAAGATTAGTTCTTCAAACCACAGTCAAGACAAAGAGGATGAACCATAATAGATAAATTTTTAATTTTTTTAACTTCAATGTAATGCAGGGTTCTTAGTTATCCAGATTTTCGTGATAAAAAATATTTTATCCCGATATTTCTGATTTTTGCGTACGTTCAGAATCTTCCGTTTTCCACAAATACAAAATTTAAATAATCTATTTGGCGATCCAACATTATCTTATTTTGGTTAATAATGCGAGTAAAAATCATAACTATTAAATAGTTGAGGGATCTTCTAATTGTACATATAAAAAAGAATTACTTCAATGTTTCAAACTTTTAAGGAATTCAGACTTTTTATATCAAAGAAACCCTATTAGCAAGATTACATTATCTGATTTCTATGTGATGAATTCAAAGGTCGTATACTTCTTCATTATTTTCAACAAATGCAATGATAAATCTTGTAGTGTGGAGTCTTATAGTTTCACAGTTTTTTATTTGTCTCTTTCATAATCACTTTAAAAATGATTGAGCACATTTTAATTATATAGCTTTATTGGTATGATGGATTAGTTAATATATCAATATTAACTAATTGATACTGGTTATTTTTAAAATAACCAATCCACTGATAATGCTGATCTATTTACCTGTTAGCAATTTATCATTTATTTCTTGTTAAAAGCTTTTAAAAAAATTTACTATAATTAAAATTACATGTTGTTAAATTTTGTTAATAATCATGAAAATTTGTATGTTGACAGGCAAGATGTAGCTTAGGTAGATAGTGGGATATATGTAGATAGGGGAATTTTATGTAAGAGTTATTTTGAGAAGATTCAAACTTCAAATACTCACGATTGCGACAGGGTTTGTAGTATGTTTCAATGACTTTTAATCCAAGTCTAGTGTTTCTTCGTACGCTACCTAGATTGATGAGATTGCTAAATTCTATTTGATGGCGATGAGCATCAGGACCTGCAAACAAGACAAAAGAAAAAAAATCAGTATTTTTTAACAAATAATAGTTTATAAGTAAAACTATATTAACAGTAATAAAGATCCGGTAATTTTTTCTAAGGAAACTTATATATTTTAACAACAATAACAATTTTAACGTTTAATACAGTGTTAGCTCTGCTTTAGAGCTTGCTTATAAATTTGCATCACTTAGATTTTTCTTTATTTAGCTATTCTTTATTCATTTATCCACTTCTACCTTTTTCTAAAAATACATTTATCCCCAATTATCTCTTTTTTTTTTCACCTAAAAGCTTATGGTGAATAAATGTGTTTTAGAATCGAAACTTCCTGAATTGTGGCATCTTATACTTAATCGTGCAATGGGCAGCACTTATGAATCTAATAATTATTTCTAACAATTGTGTTTTGACGCCTGACTGTTTCTCCTGGCAATCAAACCTGTTTTGATGTTTTCTGTCCTCACTCCATCACTAGTGATTGGTTACACTTCGTTAGAGTTTTTGTCTTTCCCTCATTTCAAATATTTATTTGTGATCCTTAAAATGCATACTTTTTACTTTAGTTTTTACATTTACGAAGATTTTTAAAAGTATATATTTAGGGCATTGATAACAGAACACCCTATATAATTTTTTTCTAAAAACAAATTGTGGGTGTTCCTTTTCATAATGAAAGTCTCAGTCTTTACCTCATCCAGTGATGCTTAAAAATGTTTTACTAAAATGTGTTGTTCTTGGCACTTTTATCAAGATTTAAAAGTTTCAATGTGCACACATTTCAACTAATTAAAAACAATCTAGGCCGGGATAGCCTGGTTGGAAGGGCGCTGTTCCCCTGTCCGAGAGTTTGTGGGTTCGAACCCCGCCGGCCGAAGTCTCCCCGTGTGGTAAAGTGACTGATGCACGTTTAATCTGTCGAGTCGCAAAAGTCCTCCATGTTCCCATGACAAATCAACACCTCTGGGGGTACTGAATTGGAGATCGATCGTTCACTGATTCAGGTAAAAATTTTGATCTGCGGATATATGAATGAATCAGCCCTATAAACAGGTGCGACGTATGGTGTGGATGAAGTCGAATTCTTGGCCATAGATGGCTCCACTGGAAAACAAGAACAATCGCACCCCCTCTGCCTAAACAGGCATATGTCAACAAAAACAAAGTGCTTAACATATGGTTTAACCACTATTACATATGAGTTTCTGAAAAGAATGCAACCATAGCTGTGAACTTTTACGATTTCTGCTATATATTTTTATGGTAGAAGCTGAAAAGCAGTGTAAAACCATTAATGTTCTTTCGGAGTTCTTATGTATGCTTTTTAAACTCTTTATGTTGTAGTGGTTAAAATAGTTTCAAATCAAAATTAGATTAATATATTCAAGGATAAAATTGGCTGCCATTAGAAAATATCCTTTAGAAAGACTAACAGATATGAATGTAACAAAACTGCGCACAACCTTCTTCCGACCTCTCTTCTGATTGAAGCATTTAATGGATAATTTTTAAAGGGTCAGAAATTTAAATTCTCCGGGTGTGAGGTAGTAAGTTCATTCACAGAAAGTAAAGTTTTTGTTTGATTTGTTAACTTAATTGTAGAACTCAATGAAAAAAGATACTTAGTAAATCTTAAAAGAAGAATTTTTCTGTATTAAAAAATCGTAAGTGCCGCTTTTTTGGGTATTCAACTTTACACTTTGTTTCGCTGTGCGGAAACTATAGAACTTAAAACCTTGAAATTATGAAGGTGTGTTGAAAAATGTAATATAAAATAGAGTAATATGGAATAATGTAAAAGCACAATAGAATATAAAAAAATTAAAATTCGATTATAAATTCAAAACTATGTACAAACTCGAAATTATTATTAACAACAAGATAGAGCTCTTTAGCATACTGCAAACATTGTCCAATGTCTTGGCTGATATTCTATAAAAAGATGAAATGATCCCCAAGCTTTTTAAATCTTATTCCATGAATTTTTCTTTTTTTTTGTTTGGGAGAACATGTTATGAAAACTAAATGTTGTTACATACTAAAATATTCACGAACGAGAGCGAATCTGGAAAGAAATTCCAAATCTTAAGGTATTTTGCTTGCAAACTAAAAAGTAGAATCATACCAACTCGCTTTCTACAGTGATTTTGTGCCCAAAGCTGTTTCTTTTGCTGCAATTAAACTTAAAATACTTTTAACCTTTCCATTGAAATCTTTGTTTAAAAACCGTATTAGAAGGCATTTCTAGATATTGAAGATCAATTTAATGTTTTCTTACCATAGAAATGAATGGTCAATTGAATGCATTGTCCATCTAAAATCTCTCTTTGTGATTGGGTGTCTTGCACTACCAGCCAATCTCTGGCATCTAATAAATCTCTCATGTGATTCATAAACCTTTGCCTACAAAAAAAAGAGAGTGTTTTATTAATCAGCTTGTTATATCATAGGTAGTTGAGACTTTATAAATTTATCCTAAAGCAGTAACATCTCAACTAATTAAATCATTTGCCACATATACTAATGCTTCATATGAATGAATTGTGATTTGACCGAATATTCAGTCAAATACTGTTCATTCTGAGGCAGAATGGCACAAAAAAAAAATTATAAATATTTTTTCTACTAAGTAAATTTAGTAATTATTGAAAATTAATAAAAACAGTTAATAGTATGTTAAAAAAAATTCTATATTCTTGTTATATTTGTAATGCAGTATTATATCATGACGCCCGGGTCGCTGAGTGGTTGCGCTCACGTGCTACAGATCCTAGGTTCGATCCTCGGGTCGGGCAAAGTTATCTCCTTTCATCCCTTCAGTAGGTCGATAAAATGAGTACCAAGTATGCTTGGGAACTAAAACCTGGAGGTTCCACGTTTGGTTGACCACCCAACCGGAACATCTGCTCCTGCACCCCAAGGTCAAGAAAACTGATATGGGCACAGTAGGCTTTTGCCCCCTATGGGCTGTCGCGCCACTGAGTTTAGTACTCAAAAATCACTAAGACATCCCAGGTCCTCGCACCTTTGTTTACCTCAGGATTATAACCCACCCTTTCGATCACTATTTTCATCCAGAATTGTAAAAATAAAACAACCAGCATTCTCATTTTTAAAAGTGGTTATTGTACAATGCCTAATGTACAAATGATCAATTACGCAATTTCTACCATGACTTGGGCTCCTACTGGTCAGGGAAAACCTGGAATATTATTTTGAGTCTAAAAATCAAGGAAAGTTACAATTTTTTACAAAAACCTGAAAAATTCCTTTATCATATCTGGAAAATGACCAGTCTTAAAATTTTCAGTAACAGTGATCAATTATTGAGATTTGAGTTAAATAATTCTGACATCTAATACAATAATTTATTTTAAAAATGTCACATTCTAGTCAAACTTGCATGTTTCTATCCTCATTCATAATTTTTTTTTTTTGCTCACAAAATCTAATGTTAGACATTGCAAATGAAAAAAAAAAAAAGAGATGAAAGATTGCAAGGTACATAGATAAAATATGATCTAGATTTTGGCTGAAGTTTTCGGAAAAGTCGGGGATTTTTTTTTTCTTTCGAAAATTGAGCGGGAACCATGCATAATTTTAAAGAGACTTATTATGTAGGTAAAATTCTAAATTTATATTAATATAAAGAAAATACACCGTAATCGGACATATAACTACGATGTAATTGAAACTTATATTATCAGGGTTGATTCTGCTCCGGAAAAAATCCGGATTTTCCGCTAACCGTGATCCGGAGATCGAAGGTTCAGACGTTTCAAAAAATCATTGATCACAAAAGTTTCCGGAAATCAAATTTTCAAAAGTGGAACTTAAAAACACAGTTTATTTTATTTGTTTGTAAGGGAGAGAGAAATACTTTATAAGCTTATATTCAAGATTAATATTAATTTTTTATCAGTAAATAGTTATTATAATCATAAACTCAAGAAAGAAAGACATATTTGTAAATTTCAATTACTTCTCCATGTCATCATTGGTATGTGTAAATTGTATAGGTATGTGTAAAATTTTNAATTTTTTATCAGTAAATAGTTGTTATAATCATAAACTCAAGAAAGAAAGACATATTTGTAAATTTCAATTACTTCTCCAGGTCATCGTATGTGTAAATTGTATAGGTATGTGTAAAATTTTAAATATATTCTAAATAAACTAAGAAATATTGAGAAAAAGAAAAAAACCTTGTTTAAATTTTTTTCGATTTAATTTTTTTTTTTTTTTTAACTCAAGAAATTTTTCGGAATTTTGACTTGGGCTCACAATCACCCCAGTATTATAGAAAGTTCAATAAATTATTTACTTACACTGTGAATCCTGGAATTTTTTTGACAGTTATGTGACGAATAAGATGAATATCTGGCAGAATATTTGCACAAGCTAACTTGTTCTGAGAGCCATCCTTTGCGAAAATTATAATGGAACGACCCATAACTGTAATAAAAGAATTTAAATTACGTAAAGAAAACGATATGTTAAGGGAGCAATAAAGTTCACAGAATTGCGAACTTTTTCAGAATTAAGGAGGAAGTTCAGATAAAAGGAAACAGCACTATTTTATAGTAAATATGTGGATCATTTTCAAATATTAATTTTACAAAAATTCATCTAGTTGTGAAAATTGTTATTATATGTAATATACAGCACAAGCTATTTTAATTTACAGTTTGAAAATTACTTTTGAGTAAAAATCAACCCATATGACGTGACATTGATTTGAACTCTCTTCTTCCATTTTAAGAAATATAGTTTGGCAGAGGATAGAGCGTTCGCTTTCTAATAAAGTGGGCCGGGTTCGAATCTAAGCGATGGCTGGTCGATACGAATTCCGCACCGACCACAGTGCTGATTTAAAATATCCTCAGTAGTAGACGGATCATGGATTAGAGTCTCCTTACCATCGTGCTGACCGTGGGAGGTGTTTGTGGTTTTCCTCTCCATATAACGCAACTGCGGGTTATTTCATCAAAAAGTTCTCCCCAAAGGCAAATTTCTCACAATATTTGATCCAGGAGTTTCCTTGTTTTCATGATTGGGTTCAAAATTACATGGCTACAGAGTTGAACATTGGTAGTCGTAAACTCAAAATTGGGTCCTCTGTTCACCGATGGTCATAAAATAAAATTTAGTTAGGCCATGGTAGCTCAGGGGATAGAGCATTCGCCTTCCAATGAGTTGAACCGGGTTCGAATCCCAGCGATGGCTGGTCGGTACGAATTCCGCACCCGGCTCGAACCGACCACATTGGTAAACGGATCATGGGTTAGTGTCTCCTTGCCCTCTGGCTAACTGTAGGAGGTTTTCGTGGTTTTCCTGTCCACATACCCAAATACAGGTTAGTTCCATCAAAAAGTCTTCCACGAAGGGAAATTTCACTCAATATTTGGTCTAGCAGTTCCCATCTCTTCTGGGTTGGGTTCAAAATTACAAAGCTATGGAGTTAAACTTTAGCAGTCGTAAACCCAAAAACTGAATTGGCTATTCAACGACGGTTATCAAATGAAATATAGTTTGGCTCTAGAAAGAGATTTTGTAAAAATTAAGCGGCCCCAACCGACACATAAGACTTTTCATTTTATGTGAAAATGTATATGATGATTCAAAGGAATATTTGCTACGTACCTGAGAAATTTCCAACCAAAGGAAGATTTACGTCTGTGAAAACTCTCCTTCCAGTACCAATCTCTAAAGTTCCATGCCGGCCAGAAAGGTCACCCATCTCACATCTGAAAGGATTATCGATGCCACACTCCGACTTGTAATAGTCCTAGAGGAAAGAAAAAAAATCCTTCATTAGATTTGCAAAACAATGAAGTTTTGAAAACAACTATTTATCCTATGAAGCTTACATCATCCGATTTCACTATGTATGGATTCCAACGATATCCAGATGATATGCAACGAACATTCTCCACTCTTTCTACAGCATCGTGAGCTACTTGATTTACGTAGACAGCCCATTCATGATTCTTTGACTAGAGAGAAAACTTTACATTGAATATGCATATTCATACAATTTTGAATACATAAACACTGCATAAAATTTCAGATGCCTACCACATTCTTGTTGTGAGCACCCGGATGTCTCAAATCTATCTCAATCCAGGTATCTCCTCGCCCGCCATCAGCGTATTCCAATTGCCGCTGAAATGACGAAGTTTAAACTTATAAAAAAGTTTTAAAATTGCTGATTCTTTATAAATATAAGTTATTTCCTACGCACACCATTTTACATAGTAAAAAACAAATGAAACATTCCATCTTAATAACTTATAATCAAATTCAGATGTCTTTATGCACTTGGCTGCCATTTTCATGTTTGTTACTACATTGAAACCATTTTTATGATAATTGGAGGCAGGTGTTAACTTCGTAATAATGAAGACATAATTATTATACAAATTAAAACTTTATTTAGTTAGAATCCTGTAATTGCATGTACTGAGCATATGCGTAATCCATGAGGGAAGGGAGTGGAAATCACTTCACTTTCGTTTATCTAGTCTGGTGTTGCCAAATTCATGACATTACATTGTTCCGATAGTGAATTTGGAATAAGCTCAATAACGCAAACTAAACTTCAAGAATAAACGCGTTAAATATAATTTGGCCTAAATTTTCAAAATGTGACAGTTTGCTAGTAAAATGAATTACTCATCTCGAATCTATAAAAACAGGGTACATGCATAACCATGTGGCTTTAATTAGATTTAAATTGGATACCAGTAAGTGACGTCATGTGCGTGTGTCGAACCAGATTGGTTTCCGAATCGACACATGCCATGATTTACCTACGATGACGTCACTTACAGGTATCCAATTCATAACGCGAATGAAGCGGAACGACATAACTATTTTTGTTTTGAATGTTTGTCTCACAGGTGAAACGATTTCGGAAACAAGGAAAACGGTTCAACCGGTTCTATTACGTAACGAGCTTTGCTCTGTGTATTTATGAGGAAGGGAAAACCTCTTCACACCCGGTTTTTGTTTGTATTAAGAACAAAGATGAGGCTTTTATGAGGAAAATATTGACGCTTTGACTTTAAGCTCGGTCAACAGTTGAAATAGCCACGTCACAAAAGCAAAATTTGACTAATTATCCATTAGTATAGTTCAAGCAGTAGTATATGAAAATCCTATTTATAGATTAAAAGCTATTCAGTGTGTAAATAAATTTTTTAAGTGAAACAAACACTATCTGAAAGCTTTGATTTCAACCTAGATGATACTTACCAGCCTAATATAGCCTTCAACGAAAATCCCTGTTCTGTCAAAAGATGCCAAGCCAATGACTTCTCGTATCCCATCCGATTTATAATCTGGTTGAATAGTACCACACGTCCACTGAAAGTTTCTAGCTCGCTTGTGGACTACAACTGATCTGCCAATGACACTATATGGACCATGGAGAGGCAGATTGTTGTCCTTAAACTCAGGCAGTCTGTATGAATCTTGGTTGTCAAGGCTACCATGCTTGCCACTCAGATCGCCAACTTCGTATTCATCGTTGGAACCTATGCCAGGTGCAAAACTCAAAGAGGTATTCACTCCAAATGGGTTGTAATTTCCTAGCACAGAGTCACTAGTACAAGGAAATTCTCTGTCTATGGGTACCCAGACCTACAGCAAAAAGAAAAATCATAGCAAATGCTTTTAAAAATGTATATATAGGTAGCAAGAGGAAGATCTCAAAAGTTTCATGCCGTTGCCGAATGTTGGAAGTACCACCCTTTTGAAACAGATATTATTCGGGGCCACAATTGAAGAAAACCACAACGCTAGGGAAATCCATCGAAATTTTAGCGAATAAGCCGAAATCAAATAAATTCAAAATCAGTTTGGTTACCTGACGAAACTTGGAGGTGTTTCTGCAACAATCGAACCGGTTTCGATGTTTTCAGTCTTGTCTTCGTCGAAAGTGATTCGTAAAATATCAGACGTGCTTTTATTTTACTTTTTTTCCACTTAATAATAGACCCCTAGTGTATACTTTTTGATTTCATTTTTGTCAAGGTTTTCTAAAAATATGTACATAGTTAACAGAGATGATTATGCTCCGGAAAAAATCCGGATTTCGGGATTTTTCGCTAATTGTGATCCGGAAATCTAATGTCCAGATGTTTCTAGAAATCATCGATCGCATTTAAATATTGAAATTCGTGAATTAGAAATTAGAATTAAATTAGAAATATTAGAACTAGAATTTATACTTGGCATCTCCTTCATTTGTAAGTATTTTTTCTGGTAGAATAATAAATGCGATTAGACATAAAAGTAAACTTATACATAATTATTCATTTTAATTATGCTGCTTATAATTTATTTAGAATTTCATGTTTTGAAAATATCAATGATTTAAATTATAAAGACATTATTTTTTTGAAATGCGTCATTAATGATTTTACTCAAGAAATTTTCAGGATTTTCGAGTTGGGCGCACAACCAACCCCTGAGTTACGGCAGTGATTACGGAAAATCCAGTATTAAAACAGTGGCATTTGGTAAAGGAAGATATTTTATTACTATTAATTTTCACATATCGATATTAGCCTTAAAAACGGTTGCTATTTAATATTAAACTTACAGTTTCAACTTTTTTTTTAAACTTAAGAAAAAAAGTTTAGACATTAATCAGGGTTCGCTTATGCTCTCATGTAACGTAAGAGGTATACATCAATGAGATTTTACTTTCATCTTTAAAAAATGAAACTATAATTACACTGATTAATAGAATCAGGCCATTTAAAGATCGACACAGACTTTATTACCTTTCCTTCTTTAAATTTAGAGTAACAATTTATCGATAAATCAATAATAAAGGTAAACATTTGTAAAATTGTTTTTTCAGCATGATTTTAAACAAAGCTTACCTTGTGTATGTCATAGTTTCCAGCCAAGCTAGCCAGTCCACCCAACTCAACTTTGCCTTCTGTCACATCAAATCCAGATTCTTGCGAAAACTGTACCAAACCGGACACATTGGACTCAATCGCAGGTCCACTTATCCACCACCGGACTGAAGCCTTCACTGGATGTCTAATGCGTATCCCCGTACATGCGAGCCTATCTCCTCTGTGAGGTGGAGCAGTATCATCGTGGATTACGAGACTTTTCCCCACAATTTTGTCAGGGCCAGAGAGGGGCAGCTGGACATCCGTGTAAAAGACTTTGTTCCTTGTTTCTCTCTGATTCGCTTTCTTGGCGGAAATGTTAATGCGCGATCCTTTTCCAGTTAGATCACCTGCTGCGCAACGTAGAGGATTATCTAGATTACAGTACCGCTCGTACTGTCTTCCAGCCCCTACAGAGAATGGATTGAACTGATCGCCGGTACTTTCACATCTTTTTGTCCAGTTATAGAAGTCTCGCCCAGGCTCGAAGTCGTGTACATCCCACCTGCAATCAGAACAACGAACTGTGAAACAATTTGCAACGCTTAATTTTTCTTGCTATAAAATTCCTTCGTTAAAATAATCGAACTCAAATATCAAACTTGCTATTTTTTTAAATACTATATAAAAGTTTATTCCTGTACGTTTCTCTAATGAAGTAAAGTCTTAATTGCATAATAATAATTCTTAATTAAGCAATCCTGCAACACTCCTTAAGTAAGGAGTGATTGGGGTTACAGCTCCACGATTTCGTGAACCATGGCAAAAAGACGGCAGTGTGGTCAAAGCTGAAGGCCAATGAAGCTAGTAAGCTTTGATCTGAGGCTGTGCCGACTTCTAGCCATTATCGAGTATCACTTTACAATTTAAATTTTTCGAATTAAAATTAAACAAAATAGCAAATGAAATTTAATTTCCTTGCAGTTGTATTTTAAATAAATTCAAGAATGGATAAACATGCAATAAAAAAGACTTCTCTCAAATTCAGAAACTGCATGAGAAATATAGCAAGTGCATTGCAATGGCAAGTAACTCTATAGAAAATTAGTGAACAAATCGAACTTGTGTTCAACATCTCCTAGTAGAGAGAAGGCCTTCGCACGGATCACTTTAGTAGTCCGAAGGCGTAAACGTAAATAGCGCGGTGGGTAGGAAATATCAAAGATGGACATTCAGAATACTAAGGATCAGATTCCTCGTTTCTGGTAACCCATTCGCTCTTCTAGGATATGTTGGTTCAATGCGCAAAATTTGGGCGACAAACAACTACCCTTATGTAAAGCTTCGACATTTTTTTTTATGTAAGAAAAAATTCGAATATATTTCTAGATTTGCTTAGTTAAACCATACATCATTAGACAAAAAGTACAAAGCTTAGAAAAATTAGAGAGGCGAATCGAATAACTTACCTGTGCTCCATTGTGTCATTTAGACTTCCATCTATGTAGTAGAATTCGCCAAAAACTGTTGTGTCACTGTAAGGATTATTAAGAGCTTGTCTGAAGACCACTTCACCGGCAATAGGGAAAACAAAAGTGGCCACGGCCATCCTTGTTGGTTCAGGATATCCTATATTTGCGCAGATCCAGGGTTCACCATCAGATTTTGTTATGACGATGGACCGCCCAATGATGCTGTTCGTTCCAAAGAGTGGCATGTTGAAATCGACGTGGATACCTAAATGTAAATTCATCAAAGGACTGACGTCGAGCAAACCGAATTTTCCGCTTAAATCTCCGACAGGATATTGATCTCCGGTACCTGTTCAAAAAGAATCAACATATGACTATAACAGAAAAATTGTTTCATTTCATTGATATTGGTTTAATTATTTGTTAAGTTTAATACAACATACTGGGTGGCCATAATTAAAGAAGAGCTGTCTAAAATCCGATGGCAAGAAAACTGTTCAGCAAAACTGTAAAAATTTGAATTTTAAACTAATCATACCAAAAGGATTTGTTTTTCAAAAGATGAAAAAAATAACTTTTTGCCACTATGGTCCAAAATTGCGCTGTAAGGTCATTTTTGGCATATAATGGGGAAAAAAAGCTTAAAGCTTCATTTCACTGATATTGGTTTAGCTATTTGTGAAGTTTAATTCAACATACTGGGGGGGTAAAGGTAAACATTTGNGGGGGGGGGGGGGCGTAGTTAAAACAGAGGTATTCAGAGCCCGAGAAAAAAAATAATAAAAAATAAAAAGTACTGCTATACAAAACTCAGACAAATTCGAAGTTTAAATTATTTATATCATGAGGATTTGTTTTTTGAAAGAAAAAAAAAAGGGTTTTATCACCATGGTCTAAAATTGCAATTTAAGGCCAATTTTGACGTGAAACACACGTACACACAATTTCATTTTAAGACCCTCTAGCTATTAGCATCGCATTTATATTCACGATTATATTTTTTAAACAATTTATCCAACCTTTAACGATATATCAGTACAATAGCTTAAGGAACATAGACTTAAAAAAAATTAAAATACGCATGAAAAAGGATGCAAATTTTATTTACGAATCGGTTTCTTCTTTTTTTCTTCGATGCTCCTCACGCTATTTTATTTACATATTTTGCTTTGGATATATTAATACAATATTAGAAAGCACTATTTTTGCGGATATAATCGTGTGAGCTGGTGACAAGATTGTATCTTTTCGCATTTTTTTAAAATTTAAATTTTTTTTGACATTTTTTCCTTTTAAATCTTTCTTTTTTCCTTTTTTAATTTTTTTCCCTTGTCTTCTTAGAATTTTTCTTATTTTATGGGTTTTATGTACTTGCTGCTCATGCGCGGTAATAAAACTTAATAGTCTTAAATTTTTAATTTTTCTCTCAAGGCAACAGAGGGGTATTTTATCCTTTATAAAATGTTTCACATGCATATTTCCCTCATAAATTTAAAACAAAAAAGATATTCACCCCTGAAAAATCTCATTAAAAAGTTTTTTTTATTAAGAATTAAAAATAATATCAAAAAATACTTTTAAAAAAAAGTAAAAAAATAATTTAGAAAAAAAAATTGCAATTTATGAACACAAGCGCGAGGTCTAAGGCAGCTGCCTCGTCCGCCCTAGTACATATATTATAAGTTCTAATGATTAAAGACTTAATTTCGAAACTTTATTATTTTTAGCGCATATTTTTTTCTAGTGCAATTATTCAAAAATAACAAACGATTCAATTAATAATAATTCTATGAAACGATTCGAAATTGTTCGTTAGCTAGCCTCGTATTCTTAAGAAAGACATTTTACGACTTCATCCAAGAAATTTAACACAAAAACTTTAAAAAAAATCATCCTTTTAAAAGAATGAAAAACATTCACAGAATGAAACACTCTATAATTGAACCATTTAGATAACTATTTCTTATTGAAAAATAAACAAACGGCACACATTTACTCAACCAAACAAACCAAGTCAAGGGCTAAAAAAAAAAAAAGACTCTGTCAATGAAATTATTTCAATGAACAAAAAACCAGATTCTTGAAAAAGAAAACCATTGAAAACCTTTAGAACTAAAATTAGTAGAATTAGAGTTTAAATAACCAATTCACTCGCGAGTAATTGTTTTTCTTTTGCCCATAAATATATTTTCAGATTTTTCACCTGCCTAAATAATCTAGAAATACGACGTAATCAACCTATATAATTAATCACCAAGAAAGGAAATTTAAAAAGTTTACAATTTTATGTACTTATTTTCAATACAAAATGTTTTGGTGAAATAATAGGGTACATAGACATAACTTATTCTCATAAATTAACTAATAAAGTAAAATAATTACTTTACAAGAAAAATAATTATTTGTATATATTTTTTAAATTAATCGATCTATTTAGAAATATTTTTATAGGTTTGTATATCAAGGTTAGTATGGATAAAGAGAATCTAGACTACAGCTTATGTCATTTAATGGACCAAGTCATTTAATAATTTCCGTTGCTATAACGCCCGTTCGTCTCATTTCCTTTTTTTAAAAATTTCTTTTTATTTNTACGGTTAAATAAATGAATCAGTGAAGTGGAATTTCAATTTAAAAATAAATAACTAAAAGTTTTAAACCTATATATTGTAGTACGATAGTATATTGTATTGGCTGATTATGAATGAACGTATCAGTGAATCAGCATATAAATAAAGGAACAAATAAGTGAAACAGCGTACGGTTAAGTAAATGAATCAGTGAAGTGGAATTTCAATTTAAAAATAAATAACTAAAAGTTTTAAACCTATATATTGTAGTACGATAGTCGGGAAGAGCAAGTTTTGCAATAGATATTTTTCTTTGAGGAAGATTTTTCTTTTTCATGCAATGTTAAAGAAGGTTAAAAAAACTAAACTCAGTGGAGCGACAGCCCATAGAGGGCCAAGGCCTACTGCACTCACCTTGGGCTCTGGGGTGCAGGAACAGTCCTGTTTGGTGGTCAGCCAAACGCAAAATCCCCAGTGTTTAGTTCCCAAGCATGCTTGGTACTCATTTATCGACCCACTGAAGGCTGAGTCAACCTTGCCCGGCCCGAGGATGGAACCCAGTAACTGTGGCACGGGACTGTGAGGCGCTACCACTCAGCCACCGGGCGTCTAAAGAAGGTTAATTTGACTTAAATAATCTTCCACAACATAAAGTTGGAACCAAGGCTTAACTCCGTGATAGGACACGTCTACTACGGAACGAACATTTCGAATATTATTAAAGCCACTCATTGAAGCTGAAAAAATTATTAAGAGTAGATAAACAAAACAAAAAATAATTGATAAAAAAGCATATCTATTTTTACATTGAAGAGCATGCCTAACACCAACTAAATACACCATACTCTTTACCGACACTTTGATTTTAGAACTATTTTTATATTCTCTGTAAACAGGTGTCTCAAGGCTATATAATTTCCCAACTCTTCACACTTTCTCCCTCTCCGTTACCATAGTTTTAACAAATCTTACTTTTTTCCAACCTAACTTCGTACTAAAACGTACTTCTTTCTTTCCTTTTTTTCCTTCCAGAGGCGGATACGTACCTAGGTTAGTAAAACCCTTACCCGTATAATCCGCATCTGGTCACTATTTCAGCCAACCTCAACCCAGGGAACGTGCTTGAACTAAAACGTAATTCTATGGGGAAAAAGTAATATTTTTTGAAACCATGGCAACAGGCATTGGAAAAGTGTGAAGAGAAGGGAAATCGTGTAATTTTGAGACGCCTATTACTTTTACACGAGCTTCAGGGAAGCTCGTGTAAAAGTAGCTTCACACTAGCTTGCGGAATTCGTATCGACCAGCCATCGCTGGGATTCGAACACGGTTCAGCTCGTTGGGAGGTGAACGTTCTTTAGCCACCACAGATCTTTATGAGGCTTTTTTCTGGAACCCCCATAAATACTAAAAAATGAAATGCGTGAAGAAGAAATGACAGCCACGATTAGAGACAATCATTCTAAATATAACCGAGAAGAATTTAGATTGAGTGTGGAGGACATCTCCTAAACAAGAAATAGAGAGAGGTTATCGAAACCTCCATCTTTTTTTTTTTTAAAACAGTTGGGTAGTTTTCACTGAACTTGAACGAGTTCAATCAAGCGTAGAAAGAAAGAAGACAATAAACGGTGTAGGAAAAGAGAGTCAAGGTAAATTAATTAACTGTTTTTCCTTTCATAAATACCTTTAATTAATTTTTTGAAAAATTTCACATAAAGAAAACACCACTAAAAATTAAATTAAACTTATTTTCAAAAAAAATTTAATTATAAAAAAGTTAATGTGATTTGCATAAGTGCGTGAAGTCGACTCTCAAAAGATTTAACTGGTATGTAACAGAAAATTAAATAATTGTTTTATTACAACTTGGATATTGCAAGAGCCGAAGGAAATTCTCAAATTTGAAGTACTCATAAAAGTTTTCGAAATTAAAAGACCAGTTGGAAGAGTAGATTGACATACTAGCCAGCTGCGCCACTTTTCAAACCGAAAGTTTACAAAATTAACCTAAAGACCTTAGTGCAATAATCTTCAAATAATTCTTACAATTTCAATTTTTAGTAGAAAATTTCGCTGACAAGCAAAATACATTTTTATTCTTAAAAAGTTCGAAGTAATTATTTAGATTTATTTTTGATCCTTTCTAAAAAATGGGATGGAAATTTTAAAGTCAAACGATGCTATGGTGCTGTTACACCAATTATTGGTGTCAGAGCTTGCCTTTGTCAAGCAATAGCACGTATATATTACACGATACTCAAATTATGGCTCGAGCGTTGCGTGAGGAAGTAGTACACCACGTAATGAGGCATTGGGATGAGTTTTCCATTTTATCTCAGCCCCGCAGTGAACTGATCGTAAAGACACTGTTCCCAGTACCATATCAAAGTCAAGCATCACTGGTTGTGGTTAGTAAGCGGATGGCTGATCAGTCTGCGTAGAGGCCGAGGGTGCGAGGTATCGTTACTCGTTAAACTGTTCAACCGTCGAGTGCTCGGCTTCGCTCGCAGCTTACCAAAGCAGAGGAGCTATCCTTTCTGCAGAGGATCGATATTGTAATGGCATGTCTTCGGATCGATGTTCCCCATTGTGCAGCTCTAGTGTGACGTAAATAAAATACCTACCTACAATCTTATCTCACGACAGAGATGGAAATACTTCTGCTGTCTACTATGGTGAAATATCCCGAACTCATAGTTACGATGGTTTATGTCATTTAATAGTTGCTGGACAAATTTTAAATTAATACTACCGAACTTTGACAGTATAGCTGACTTCTCTTCAAAATAGTTAAAACGGAGATAAAAGTACATCTACATGGGTAAAGAGTCGGGTAACAGCTAGACAAGGCGGTGAAAAATAATGAGTTGATATATTGTTTAAAACTAATTAAGGTGTTTGGATTGGAGATGAGGTTGAAGAATTAGAATAGTTAAATGCGGTTGCTTTGGGCATTCGACTTGGTTACCATTAAAGATTACACGCGTTGTACTAGACGATTTTGAAAGGTGATCAAGCTGGTCGCCGAAAGTGACTAGAAATGACAATAATAAAAACTAACGTAGCTTGATGCAGTTAACAAGATTTTTACGCTGTGTAATAAAGTTTAGTTTAATGGAAACTTTGCAAAGGAAATAACCTTCTCTGTTGCTACTATCAGGACACTTTTAAGCTACTTCTCGTAACGCTTTACCACGTTAAGATTAAGCAACTCAAGATAGAGAAACTAGAATTTCTGTATCTAGAGAAAGAAATTAAAGATTAGATACAGAAACTATTACAAAAAAATGAGTATTTTCAAATAGTCACTAAAATTCAGCTAATAATCTAATATATATAATTCTCTTACGTGGCTCCCAAATTTTGGCTGTATTTCTTTTCCGCCGGGAGCAACGTTTGCTTTGTTTTGTTTACATTACAAAGCAAGAATCTTTCTTTTAAGAATTCTATACTAATAATGAATATTTACGCAACAAAAAACGAAAAGTTCGCGAAATCTGTAGAATTTTTTACTGAAGAAATTCAAATTACCGAATGAAATTCAAAGGGGATTTTAATAATCGTTCCCAGCCTCTCAGCTGTTTCATTAGAAAATCAAACAGGTTTTGCGTCACTAATTTCGTCTTCTTCTTTCTTAATTATTAATAATTTGCCTCCGATAATGATTAAATTTTTGGTCTTTTTTTAACTATGATTCTAAAAATGATGTCTTGGGATATTCATCCACTTTTAGATGCACGTGGATAATTTATTTTTAAATTTTTTTCCGCACATGCGCTGTATAAAGCAACTACTTCAATTACCCTTATCAGGCGCAGTTTTTATTATTATTTTTTTAATTTTAAAGCAATAATTTCGTTATCAGTTTAAAATTGATTCTAACGCTTTGTTTAATTTTTTTTCAATATTTAAGCTATAGCAAAAGTGGCACTAGACCTAGTATATATTTCGGACATTTACCAAAGGTCTAGTCTAGGTCTGGTATACTAGGTCTGGTCAAGTGCCATTGCCCGGTATACATTTGCCCGGCATACTCTACACTGATGTTTTTTTACGGTTCAGTGCCACTGCCCGGTATACATTTGCCCGGTATACCCTACACTGATGTTTTTTTAAGGTCAAGTGCCATTGCCCGGTATATATTTGCCCGATACTCCAAACACTGATGTTTGTTCTAATTTATCGTCAATAAGTATTAAAATATCGAATAAATGTAATTATATCCACGAATAAATTAATATCAAATCGTACGTAATAAATATTTCGGACATTCACCAAAGCGACTAATTAATTTGTCGACATTCACCGGTGAAAGTCAACAACCACCGATTTCGGTCATTCACAGTAACATGCACATCATTTACATAATAACCTCATCAGGACGATTATTTCATACTTTGCCTAAATAGCATCCTGCATTTCAAAAAATTAAAATAATTGGTTTTGTTGGCGATAATCTCGTAAGGCGATAAAGAATCATGCATAGTACAGGTAAGGAAGATGTTAACCTCGAAGGAAAAGTGGATGAATAACCCAAGGAACCTCTAAAAATACATATAAAAGGCAGTATTACGGAATATTACATAAACCACACATACTACATAGAAAACACTATCTACTATATAAGTTTTGATACGAAAACTAGTTAAATAACAGCAATCAAAATGAAAGTCTAACCTTCTCCTGGGTCAGGGCCATCTTCTATAGGTAACTCGTATGGATTATATGTTCCACCAACATATTTTGTGCCACAATAATTCTCTCCAGCTTTGGTTCTCTGTGGTATGGGAAACTCGTGTATCCTAAACGCAGATCCTCGTCCTCTGAGATTGTGGAGCTGTATGGTGACCACTGTAGGTTGCGTTCTGTAGCTCTGGCTCAACAGTATATGGCCCTTCACAAAATCGGAACTGATGTATGCTTTGACTTCTTTGGGCTTTACAGGGACTAGAGGGGCGCAGGCCATGATTCTAAAAGGATTGCCGCTCTCGTACAAAACCAGATAAAGCGAACGTAAACCACTTCCTACAGCAGATAAAGGGAGATTGGTGTCCACGTAGAATCTGAAAAAAAAAAGCGTGACTAAGTAAATTTTCAACGAAGACTTCATGACATAAAGTTAATTTGATATGTTTGTTTTAAAGATCAGTTCAGTACACGAGTTATTAGTCTATAACGAGTTAATTTTAGATTTTTGAATTCTCATGTTTTCCTTGAGAGCAATAACAGTTCCCATGAATATGGAAAATATTATCTTAATACTAAAATTAAATCATTCTAAAATACATTTTTAAAAAAATTTATATTTTAAATTATTTTACTTTATTTTAAGAGATGTCTTATTCCATCACCTACTGCAAGATTCTACATACGGTAGGTTATATCTAGCCATAGCACTTCAAAGCTATAGCAAGATAATCTAATAATGAAAAATGCACGCATAGCTAGAAATCGAAAAATATTGAGTTTTCTAGTTAGATTCTAATCTTTTAGTCAAAAATAAGGTATTAAAACAAAAAAGAAAATATCAAAAGGAAACGATTTTTTTTTATTTATTTATTTACTAGTTGTACCCTGAACGCGTGGCATTGCCTGTAGTCTGAATTGTATTTAAAGGAAACTACGTTTATCGAAATGAAAATTATTTACATAATTTTAATGTGGCTTTCTCTTCATATGTTAGGAAGATAAAAAAATTTGACAATTTCTCTTTCGTTATAAATATGTTTATTCAAGTACTTATGAGTACACAATTTTTGTTTTCCTGTTTAGAATTTATACAAATTTATACAAATAATTAGAAAGTCTTCCGACACGTGAGCACAGACCATACAGAGCTGTTCAAACGAGAAGCAAATATGTTCCAAATTTAGTTCACATACTTGCAATGACCGTCCTTGTACTTTATTAATGGTCATGGCAAAGGCGAGACTTCATCTATCAACCGCTATATATCTAGATATATAGCGGTTACCGTTAGATATCTTCCATATATCTAGATATTATCTTGAAGCGGCAATAAACGATAAAATTTGAATGACATATCTGTATCAATGGGATGCGTGGCAACAGAACATCTTCTCCTTTAAATTTTCCATTTAGAAATTTTGCTTAGAGGATGTTGGTCACCATCCCTTCCACTGGAAGCCGGGTACCGCTTCAAAATTTTGGTGGATTGATGTTTTAGAGAAGAATGATTAGTAATCCAATTTTCAAAGTTAAAATGTTCGGTGACATGCTATACAAAGTGAATTCAGAAGTTCAATTGAATAGTTGACAACCTCGTTCTGATCCATTACAATATCGATAGACTGACGTGTTCTTGTATTACCTGGAATTTAGTTCAGAATGCAGATATTGATGTTGTGACGTAACTACTACTACGAAAATTAAACATCAATTCACTAACAATTCACACAAGCAAACAATTTTATCAAAGAATGCATGGTCGAAAACAAAACGCAAAACCTCTAGGGGGCGTCAAAGTTTATGTTCTTATATGAGGCAAAAACACACAAAGAACGATGAAGTTAAGTTATAAAAGCAAATTTAATGGCATGTGATTACAATAAGTGTTCAAAACAGTGGCCGGCAGCGGCTATGC